ATATCACAAATCAATAAATTGTAGCAACCGATAATGATTTCAATGAAAGAATCTTAGAATGACGAGAACATTCTAAGATTCTGTAGGTATGAGATATCGGGGTATGCGATATTGATGTGAATGGAGGAAGCAAGTTGTGAGTATTCTAGGCTAGAATATTCTAGAAATGCAAACATAATCAAATCTTCGTTTAAGTTAAATCAAAGAACATAATAGTTGTGTAGCAATGATGTGTAAACTGATGGTCTGTTCCAGAACCTTCAAGGATCTACTTAATTTATTTCGATATCATAAAGGGATACTTGGTTATCGTAGTAAAAAGTTTTACATTTTTGCAGTTTTGGAACAACCCATAAATCGAGAGTGAGTGTTTGAGAGTAATTGAGAATTCACCCAGGGCTGCCACTTTTTGCTGATTTATCGGCATTTTGGCGTTCTTATACCCTCCACCATACATAGATAGCTTGGTGGATATATTAAGTTCGTCATTCCGTTTATAAATCATCGAAATAATAATTTAGACATAACAAAGTATTTACATTCTTGATCAGCGTAAAATTCTAAGACGATTTAGTCCTGTCCGTCCGCCCGTCTGTTTTAATCATGCTAGAGTCAAAACAAATAAAGTTAGGAAGCTAAATTTTGCACAGATCAGTCTTGTGTCTACAGGCAAGTCAAGCTCGAAAATGGGCTATATCGGTCCACGATGGGCTATATCGGTTCATATAAAGGTACCTCCCCCCATATTCGATATTTTGATGAATGTAGCCAAGTTTTTCCATGAAATGGTCTGAAAATCCACACAAGGAGTTCCTATTGAGTATTTCACCATCCGAAAGAATATTGCCTATATAGGTCCACGATATCTTATATCGCCCATATATTTTTATGATTTTAGCTAAATTTTTCAATGGAATTGTCTAAATATCCATATTAGAAGTTCTTCCTAAGCACTTTATCCCCTGAAAGAGAAATGTCTATATAGGTCCACGGTATCGTATAGCCAACATAAAACGGACAATATTTTGACGATTTTAGGTTGAAGTTGTTTCAAATTTCGTATTTATAATTCGGAATGGGTACCACAGCCTATGGCAGGAAATTGTCTATGCAGGTTCAGGTCTTCATATAGGCCCCATATATCAGTACCTCTCCATATTCGGTATTTTGACGATTTTAGGTTCAATATTTACCGAAATTGTTTGAAATTTCGTATTTGAAGTTCCTAATATGTATTATGTCTATGCAGGTCCAGGTTTTCGCATAGGCCCCATATATAATAGTTTTTACTACATTATTCAACGGACTTTTTTTCAAGTTTCGTTTTTGAATATTGTCATGGCTTATGACAAAAGTTACCTAGGCAGGTCCACATCTTCGTATAGACCCCAATATAACGGCTATATTCGGTATTTGTAAGATTTAAAAAAAAAATAACGGATTCTTTGTTTTCAAATTTCCATATTTGTTGCAAATGGTGAAGGGTATTCAAAGTTCGGCCCGAACAAACTTACTTTGTTTACTTCTGGCAGTCTAAAAATGGGAAATGCCGATTTGATTTCACAGACGATACAGTAAAGAGGTCTTTGAGCTCTTTAAAGGAGTTACATGTTTTAAAGATTTGTTAAAGATCATTTACGTGCAAGAGATCTAAATGAGTGTCATCTTTTTGTAGAAATTACAATATATTAATAATAAATGAAGTGATGCTAATTTAGCGTTTTTTCGTTGCAGCAGAAAATTTTAAGCGTTTAAAAGACTGGGCTGCCTATCGACATTTTGACGATTTTTCACTCTAAAACTGGGAAATGCTGATTTGGCGCTTTTTGCCTCAAAAATGTCGATATTTAACGATCGAAACAAATTGTCTCAGATTTTAATTTAATAATAATAAGCATTGCCAAAGTATATTTCAATATGAAAAATATTTAAAAATGAATCAAACGTAATTTACTTAACCAAATAGAGTTACTTTTAGAAGCATTTTGAGCAATTTAATAAAACGGGAAGTTATGAGAGGTAACTGAATTTAAGGACAACAATTTTTTTGAACCCTCATTGTCAAATCAAGATAGAGTTCGGAGATGGACCATATCGGTCCACTCCTTCTGTTACCTCCCCCACAAAATGTCAACATTTTTAAAGAAACTAATTTAACGCACAGAATACGAAAGGATAATCCCATTTTGTTCCAACTTTGTAAATCCTAATATTTGCATCAGTGCTAGGTCAGGTGCGAAAATGGACAATATCGCTTCATTCCACTCCACCACAAAATGTCAACATTTTAAATAATACTAACTCTTATTCAATGTGATGTAAGTTTCCGATTGGCTTCAACTTACACACATCACAATATTTTTATTAACCAAAGGTCTGGTGTGAATATGGAATACATAATGGTCCACTCCTTCTGGTACCTCCCCCACAAAGGGTAAAAATTTTGAATATTCATGAAGCTGATAAAACGCGAAATTAACATCCGATTCCATGCAGACTTGGCACATCTCAATATTTCTATCAACCCAAGATCTGTTATAAAGACGGTAGAGATTGGACCATTCCTTCTGGTACCTCCCCAAAATAGGGTCAAAGTTTTTAATAACCAAAACAATCATAAAATCCAAAATAAGCAGCCGGTTCTCTTTATATTTTACACACTTCATTGTTTCTACTAACACAAGAACTGCTCTGAAGATAGGATATATCGGTTCACTCCTTCTGGTACCTCCGCCACAAAGTGTCAAAATTTTGAATATTCATGAAGCTGATAAAACGCGAAATTAACATCCGCTACCATTCAGACTTGGTACATCTTAATATTTCCATCAACACAAGAACTGTTATAAAGATGGTAGAGATTGGAACATTGCTTCTGGTACCTACCCCACAGAGGGTTCTAGATTTTGAAAAACAAAACGCTTAAAGAAAGCAAAATAAGCATCCAACTCACATCAAATATGACACATACAAACATTTTTGCTAACGCAAGATCTATTAAATAATTTTATCTGTCATAACTTGCGAAACAAGTGAGCGATTCTTTACAACTTGTCATATCTAAATATTTATCTCAACCAGAAACCAATATGAATATGTAATTTAATGGAATTCATGATTTCGCATAAAATTGGATATAAATGTTCGATTTCCTTTAAATTTTACACGTACCAATATTTTAATCTGTATTAGTTGAAGAGGAATTTTTCGGTCCGCTATATCTGGTACCTCACCAATATTTCCACATTTTCTACAAGTTGCACAAAATATCGTATAAAATGTATAGGGAGTAGTCGATATAGCCCAAATCTGACACGTTGTGATATATATGTCAGTCTTAGGTCATATATGAGATGGTCAATATTGGCCAACTGCTTGGGAACCTCCCCGATATAAGGTCAACATAGTAGAATTTTATGACAAATAACTAGAATATTTAAACTTCCTACGATCTTGCTTTAATTTGTATTTAAAATAGATTTAAAACAAGTAAACAAAGGCTATAGCCGTGCGGGGCCGACTATGTAATACCCTACAACACTACAATATGTTAGAAGCCCCCTTATGTTAAAATCCATATTGGAAGTTTTCGCTTTTGAAATAAGGATTTTGAATATGGACATTTGCCCAATATTTATGCACTCCGTCGGGCTGTTAGTTGTTGTGGTCCATTTTACAGTTAAATGTAATCCAAAATGCTAGAATTCTTCCCTTTCCTTAATTCCCTTCACAGGCGTGTCGATTGGCTTCAATTGTGTGATCGGAAAAACAGCTATGTTTTTGGTTAGTTCGAACCCCTAAATATTTTGCAATCATCTCCAAAAGCAAGGAGCCCATCTGTATCTCCAAATTAAGACTCATCTACATGATTTGCTTGTCTACGATATTTGGCTATATTCGTCAACGAAATCAGCATAAAAAAAGCCAGAAGTTTGCCTTTTGTGTATTTCGGATATTTCATATAAGTGTTGCTGGTATTTTTTCACACAATATTAGTGGTCCATTCTACCCGCTGTCCTAAACTCTAACTTTATGCGAGATTTCGTGTCCTTTGGTTTCCATTTGTGACCTTTATAACGACTGCAAAATATTCGCAGTTTAATAGAAAATTTGAGTTTTATTTAACACAAATGTTGTGGCCTATTTCACTCACTAAATATTCCCCGATGACCATCGAAATGGGAAGGCTTCTGCCCAGCCCTAAGCTCTAGCCCCATGCTAATTTTCGCTTTGATTGGTCTATAATTGCGACCTGTAGAGCAACTGCAAAATCAGGAATTTTGTCAGTTTTTGGTCCATTTCAAAATATTATGCGATCATCTCCAAAAGAAATAGGGTTCTATTCTGGCCCTAGCCCCACCTCCATTCTAAAAATCGGGCCATAACTGCGGCCTGTAGAGTGATTACAAATTAACATGGACAGACGGACGGACGGACATACATAGCTAGATCGACTCAGCTCGGCGAGATAGGAAGATCCATATATACTTTCCTATGTGGGAAACCAATATTACGTGGTATTACATAATTTTTGACCCAATCAAACTTATAATACCCCCAACACATAGTGTTGTAGGGTATAAAAAGAACTAGAATATGAGTTGGTAAGGATTGTGAATTAAAATGTTCATCAAAAATAATCCTGGTATTTCTATTCGTAATATTGTCAAAGACACCATATACCTAAAATGCCTGTATCCCAAGGCACAATTATCTGAAAATTGATCATCAAATGTGAAAGAGGGAGGTACATGTAGATTTAAAACTCCAATACACGTGTCTTCTACTTTTAACTCTGGTTGCACAATCTACCGAGTTTTATCTGTATACACGCTTTGTTTTGCCCATTGTTTTAAAATAAAATTAACAATTGTTTAAGCCAGGATTTTGGGACCACAGCCTCTATTCACAATACCAAGATATGAGAAATGCTGCATATTTATGTTTTACTAGATTTAGTTTAATAAGTCTCCCAGAAAATCTGTTACATGTTCTTGACATACTTCGGAAAAAATCTTTCGTTAAAAGTGATTTGCCTTTGTTTTGCAACGACATCTTGTTTCACTTGCAAAAACTAAATTTGTAGATGCTGTAACTCACCGAGAGAACTTGATCTCCTCAGAAATCTCTCTCTCTCTCTCTCTCTGCATACCGTCAGCTGTTTCACAACAAATCAACAAATCTCAGTGGCGACAATGTGAATAGGGTGCATGGCAATAAAACAAACATAGAAGCAAACAAACACATTTTGGTGGAAAAATGGAATAAAAACACAAATTGAATAAATTTAATGACAAAAGAAATTTTTTTTTTTTTTTTATTTGGCATACATTTCAGTGACATTTGAATTCCATTAAAAAAAAATAAAATATATAAACAAAAACAACAACTATGGCATTTTTGTGTCCAGTGCGTATGAGGCGTGACAAAAAGAAAGGTATAGATACTAACAAAGTGTAGTTTTCCAAGTGTCTAAGACGTTTTGATTTGAAGACTATTAAATGATTTTAGGAGCAAAACAAAGGACCTAAGACCCAAACTTGAAAAGTTGTCAAGCAAACAAAAGACTTAAGCAACGAACGTAAATTAATTTCCTTCTTTTTTCCAACAGCCACCAATGCAAACATTGAACGTGATTTACCCTTGCCTGGCGGTGTTACTGTTGGCCTAGGTCGCATCACTGGTTCTTCCAGTATTGAAACATTGGTCAGGGTGGGCATTGAAAAGGAACATGGCTTGAGTCCCGATTCCAAAATGGTTGTTCTACACGACTTCACACCCTGTGTGGACGATGAGTTGGAGGTAAAACGTGGCCAAGTGGTCAACATACTTTATCGTGAAAATGATTGGGTCTATGTCATTGGTGAAGATTCGCGGCAAGAGGGCTTTATACCCTACTCCTATTGTGCGCCCTACAATACCCAGTTAGCTGATATGGCCATTAAAAAGAAACTACCACGTGGCGAAGGTGGTGGTGGTGGTAGTGGCGGTGGGGAACATAGTGAAACAATACCTTTGATCCAATCCAATGACAATGCCAAACTGGATTTAATTGAAGAGGTCAACAATGCCCAGGCGGCATTGAAAAATGCCGTGGCTGAACTCAACTCCCCACTTCTAATGGATGCCGGAGAGTGTACCCCTTTCCACAAGGAACCGAATGGTCGTTATATTGTTCTCTACACTTTTATTGCACGCGATGAAAATGATTTATCTGTGGAGAGGGGAGAATTTGTGACACTCCTAAATCGTGATGACAGCGATTGGTTTTGGATTGTTCGCAGCGATGGCCAGGAGGGCTTTGTGCCCTCAGCATTTATATATCCAGCTGATAGTGTGCTCCAAACACAACAGAAACTGATGGAAAATTCCCTTAGTAAATCAAATGGACAAATATCCACGGGTTCAGGTGCGGCCCAGGGTAATTTGAATTCCTTAAGCCAACCCGTAACCATGCCAAGTGCTAACACAAATGGTGGTGTTGAGAATAACTTGCAGCCAACCCAGCAGCAGCAACAACAGACACAGCAAAATTCCCAGAATTCTACGGCACAAATTCCCGCCGATGATGTTCGTTATGGCACGGAGCTGGTCATGCTTTATGATTATAAGGTAAAAAATTTTTGGAAAATTCTTTCAGTTTATTTTTTGTTTACCTCAGAATCGAGTTTGTTAAACAAATCCTGAAGTTCCCAGAAAAAAAGTAGATTTTCTCAATAGAAAGAGATAGCAAAATAGTATGTTTTTATAGAAACCAATTCTCTGGGATTTGTTTGGGAAATAAAACTTTGTTCTTGAGGGCTGTTATTTTTCTACAGAAAAAATTTTCAGACCCTGAAAAGTATTTCTTTTTTAAAGAATCCTTGAATCCAGAAATAAAATTTTAGACAAAAGTGAAGTTTTTTATTTTTTTATTTAAATATCTAATTTTAAAAAAAATATTTCTCCGAATAAAAGATGTATTTCATAGGAAAATATGGAAAATTGCTCTAGATCTAATGGGTTTTCAATAGAGAATATCGGTTCCCAGGAACAGAAGATTATTTCCTTCCTTATGTTGAGAAATTCTTTCAGTTAATGACGAAATATTTTGACTTCTAAGGGTGATTTTTTCCTGAGAATCGATGGTTTTTTATACCCTCCACGATTCTAACTTTGTCATTCCGTTTGTAACTCCTCGAAATATTCATAATAGACCCTACCCTAGAATATATATACTTTATTCTGGATCAGCGTAAAATTCTAAGACGATCTATGAGGCGATGTCCGTCCGTCTGTTGTAATCACGCTATCTTTCGAACGAATTGAGATAGAAGGCTAAAAAGTATGCAGGCCCACATCTCCGTATAGCCTCCATATGACGGTACCTCCCGGTAATCCGCAATTTCATGATTTTTGCGACATTATACACCGTAGTTGTAACAAATTTCGCATTTGAAGTTCGTAATTGACACTACAGCCTATGGCAAAAATGTCGTTGCAGGTCCACGTCTTCGTATAGTCCCCATATAACGGTTTTAATTTAAGTGGTAGTTTTCTGAATTTTTTTTTTTAAATTTTTCAATTTCTTTCGAAATTGTGGAAGTTCTGCCCGGCCGAACTTAGCTGCTTTTTTACTTGTTAAACAAATCATAAAGTTCGGAACTCAGAAAAAGTAAATTTTCTCAATAGAAAGAAGACTCCGGAATATTGAGTTTTTATAGAAACCAATCCACTGGGATATATTTGGTCCTCCGTTCTCTGTTCTTAAGGACTTTTATACAGAAAAAAATCAGATCCTGAGAAGAAATTTATTTTTAAGGTATCCTTGCATCCATAGAAATATTTTTTTACAGACCAAAATGAACATTTTTAAAAATTTTTTAAGGAAATAAAATATTTCTCGGAACATAATAATTCCATGTATCCAAAATTGGTTCTCAAGAAATAACAATTTTGTAGTAAAAAATATCAGAATCAGAAGATTATTTCCTATAAAGAAAATATTCCTCTGGATGGAATGGGTAACATTCTGACTTTGGGTAACATTCTGACTTTGTAGGTTCTAGTTTTTTTATCAGAATAATATTTTTGAGATCTAAAAAATAGATTTTTTTTATAAAAATATACATAGGGAAGAATGATCACTTTCCTCAAACAAATTTTAAAATTTCGCATTGCTTGTTTTCAGGCTCAGGCTCCCGACGATTTGAGTGTGAGACGCGGTGATTGGATATATGCTGATCTAAATAATCAAACAGTCGATGGTTGGCTATGGTCTTATGCACCGAAGACAAGAAAATATGGATTTATTCCAAAAGCCTATGCTAGGCCACCTGCCATGACAAGCCTTTAAAAATTTATTCCAAAACAAACGTACAATATAATTGCATTTATTTTAATTACTATTTCATTTTTGAGTAATACTTTTATTAATAATATTTTGCAGCTAAATATATATTAAAAAAATATATCATTTGTGTACAATTTGTTGATGTTTTTTCTCTTATGCATGCGAGCAGTAAATAGTCTTTCGAGTACGAAATTTACATACATACATCTTTATGTTTGTTTTTTGGATATAAGGTCACTTTTATTTTTTGTTTGTTTATTGCTCTAATATATATTGTTTATCTTTCTTTCACTCTTGCACAACTTAAGTTTAAATTTACTAATTACAAATTACAAAAATATTAAAATTAGTCTTAATGTTATTACAGGTTACTGATGGTGTATACAGAAGATTCAATGTTGCAGAAAAACAAATACATAGTTGACTATTTTCCTTCCAAGCAAATACTTTTAAATATAAAAAAATAGGATAACTTTGTTTTGAGAATAATTTGGTTCTTTACACAAAGGTGGATATTTTCGAGATAGCAATGAAAAGAAATATAGCTACCTACAGATATAAAGAAAATACTACTAATTTATTTGCAATGTATATAGTAGTAGCATATAATATCACTTATATATTTGTTTTTTTTTTTTTATTAAACTAAAGAGAAAAAGGAAGCTAAAGGCTTTTTGTATAGGGTTTCCTTTTGTGTGTGGTGAAGATATACTAAAAGAATTATGCTCAACATAATTTGTTTGTATATCAAAAACCAAGTTTTCCTCTTAACAAAATGAAGTATTTGTAGACACCGTTTTGCTTCACCTTTTACAATCACTTTGGGTGGTTTTAAAATAGAGGCCCAAAGTTAGCTGTCATCCTTTTTTTTATCAAATTATAACTAAAAATTGTGTGTTTATGTTTGTGGGATTCAGTGTTATGTATTTCTTGCTCCTATTCTTAGGCATTTCCATTTGTGGGATTTATATTTAGGGTGCTGCAAAACAAGAAGTAAATTTATTAATAACAAATTTTAAATTTTTTATGTCAATTAAAAAGCACAGAAGATTCCTCAAATATATTCTACCTATGGGAGACCTATGAAAAATCTTTATCCTATGAAAGACCCTATAAAACTTGTTTTTTTGAAGACACCTTAAGGTATCTCATAGCAGACCTCTGAAGGGTCTTCTATAAAGGGATGATGAATTGTGAAAGCTATAGCATTCGTATAAGACCATCAATCAATAAAAGGATTCTTAACAATATTTTATACGTTTATAGAAAACCTTCAAAAGATCTGCCATTGGCGGGACACCTCTAAATTATTTTCCGTGCACAGAAAACATCTGAAAGGTATTATATCCATAAAAGACATCTCAATGACATTCTAATCTTGGAATGCCGCCAAAAATATTAAGGACCCAAAAAAATAAAAAATCAATCAAATCAACCAATCAGCTAATGTTCTTTGATTTGCGCTATTATTACTCAAAATGTTGACAACCTATGAGGAGGTCCCGAAGCTCTTAGGCCAATATAAATTTTACAACGTGACATATTTGGAATATATCAAATCAATTTGGACTATGGGGAATGTTGAATTGAAGGCTGAAATAGTTGTATGTGGAACATTTAAAGAAAATCGAACATTTAATTTCAAGTTTATGTGAATAACACAAAATCAAAACTTTAACCTTTTTTGGGGGAAGTAACATATTCGACGGACCCATCTGGCAACGCCATAACTTTTGACAGAGATGTCACATCGCTTAATGACACACCGCGTTTGAAGCGTCAGTCCAAGCAGATTTTTACCATGAACCAATACACGCTACGCGAGCGCTCTGAAATAGTTGAAATTTACATTCAACAGAAGAAGTCAATTGTGAAAACTCAACGTGCTTTTAAAACATTAAAAAATGTGAGAAGTGCGCCTTCTAAATAAGCAAAAATGCCGTTTTTACGCCACTGAAAATCCTCAAGAGATTCAAGAAGTTCATGACGAAAAAGTCACAGTTTGGTGCAGCGTTAGTGCGAAAACGGTCATTGGGCCGTTTTTCTTCCAAAATGAAAATGGCCATGCTGTTACCATCAATCAGGAGCGTTATCGCGACATGATGACCAATTTTGTGATGCCAATTATTCGTCGAAAGCGTATCAGGCAGTTCTGGTTTCAACAAGACGGCGCTCCACCGCACACAAGTCGCATAACAAAACATGGGTCCGTCGAATATGGGCAACCCTGTATCTAGACAAACTATATTTTGAAAAGAATCCCTGACTTGTTTCGTAAGCAATAAGAGACGTATGTATTAAAAATTTTGACCCTTTTTGTGAGGGAGGTGCCATAAAGGATGGACTCATATCTATCATCTTCACACCAGAACCTGTGTTAATAGAAATATTGGGATGTGAAATCTGAACGAAAACTTGTATGCTTATTTCGCATTTTATGAGCTTCATAATTATTCAATATATTAACCCATTGCGATGAAGGTACCAGAAGCAGTGGACCGATATATTCCCTCTTCTACCTAGATCTTGTGTTGATAGAAATATTGAGATATGTCGTATTTGAAAGGAATCGGATGCTAATTTCACGCTTTAAAGTTTCATTGTTACTCAAAATTTTGACCCAACCCAGGGAGGTACTAGAAGGAGTGCTCCGTTCTATCCAATCTTCATGTCAGATCTTATTTGTGTAAAAAGATAGTTGTGTGAAATTTAAGGAGATTTTAAATATTTTTTTTACATTTTAAACAATTATAATTATTAACAATTTGACCCTTGGTGAGGGAGGTACTTGATGGAGTGAACCGAGAGTGTTCATTTCCACACATTACCAAACACTGATTAAAACATTAGAATTTGCAAAGTTTGCACAAAATTCTAGTTCTAAAAGGAAAACTATTTTTTGTGAAAATTTTTACAGGAAGGAGGGGCCGTGTTAAACATCTCCGAACTCGATCTAAGTTTGATAATATAACAATTGGACCAAAAACTGATACTTCTTTCGACATTCTCGCGCGCATGCCGGACAGACGGACGGACGGAGATCTATTAAAAATGTCCTGAAACGGATTTGGCCCAAGAGAACTAGGTTCTAAAACCGTTATTTCACATCAAATGATGTATAGCACATGTAGCCCTATGACTGAGGGTATAAAAACGAAAGGTCTATTTTCCATAAAAAATAACCTTAAAAGGCTCTCATCCCATAAAAGGGCCTTTCAAATATCTTTTCCCTACAAAATACGACATAATTACTTCTTTCCATAAAAAAAACCTCTACAAATTCTTATCCCCATAGAAAAAGAGATAAAAAATAACAGTTATTAATTGAATACCTCAAGAATACATATTCTGGCCCTTGAAGACCTCTAATCGGCCTTTAACCTGTAAAAGACCTCTGAAAAGGGGTCCTATCACGCAAGGTATTTTATTCAGAGAAGACCTCCAAAAGCTATAGATATTTTATGTTCAGAGAGGGAATTTAAAAAGGCATATACCCATAATAGACCTTTAGGAGGTCTACCATTCACAAATAGAACAATAAAGTGTTTTTATACGGAAAAATCCTAAACCGTATTTTATATACATATTCGAACGAAGATCTTTAAATAATCTATACTAATGGAACAACCTAAAAAAAAAAACAATAAAGGGCATTATTTTTAAACAAGACTAGTTAGAGGTATTTTATACATATAATATCCATTACATTTAGAAATCCTCTAAGAGGTCCTAAAATGTCTGAACAGTAACAATTTCGGTATCTGTATCAATAAGAACCTCGAGGTTTTTCTCCATGGACGACCTCTAGCCTATTTTTTCACAAAATATCTTCTATCTATAAAACCCTTTGAGTTCTATAGATGATACCCCTGTGAAAGCTCTTTTATGGACAGAAAGCATTCTAAACGTCATCATATGCTAGAGGACCCCGAAAATTCGTCTATAAACAGATGAACATCTAGTGAACTTCTTAGAGTGAATCCTTTTGAAAAAAAAATATAATCAAAAAATATATATTTTTAAAAATTTATTCAAAATATATATATATATATATATATATATATATATATATATATATATATATATATATATATATATATATATAGTCAGTTCTACATACCTTAGCATATCTTTCAATTGCTCCTTCTCCTGATGGACATCACGCAATTTCTGCTGTAGCTGTAATATCAAATCATTTTTATTGTTTATTTGCATTTTTAAATGAGCAATTGTTTCCTCTTGTGCTTCGAATATTGCCTGCCAAATAAAAAGTAGAATAGATAAGGAAATTGATTATTAAGTGCGAAAACAAACAATTAGCTATCAAAATCTAGTGTTAAGCCGGTTGGCTGATAAAACAAATAGACACCAGCAGTGTATGACGAATACATTTCGTTACAAAAAAATGGTATGTTTTTGTAAAACAAATATCAGAGGCAGCAGGCCCACACTACCAATTAGCATCACGCATACTCATGTGATTGTGGTTAGCAAAATTACTGAAAGCTTGCTAAGAACACAAAAAGGCTTAGACACAATTCTGGAGGATTTAGAGTACAGTTTGGAAATGACTTCAATTACAGACACTGCTTGTTAATATATTATCATAAAAATAAATTAAGGTGCTCTTTAAAAAAAAATAAATTTTCCCTTACCCTACACTCCTCCATGGATTCGGAATATGATGGCGGTTCGTCTAGACAGAAAAACTCCCTCACCAATTGGCATTTTCTCAATTCCTCTTTGCTCATGATGGAGTTTACAAACATTTGCAGGCCTTGTATGCGATTATCCAAAAACACTGAATTGAAATTATCGCCGAAAATCTTTTTGCGCGGTAAATTCAGCGTGAGATGAGGAAATGATTGCTTCAGCTTGGTATTGAGACGCACAAAATCGGTATAGCGTCTTAGGACCAACCAGCAATCATTTGTATGAGGATTTTCCACACGCAATTTGTAGACAGTGAAACGGGCTCTTTCCTCCATGACCTCATAACCAATGATGGGTATACGCAGTATACTATTTGGATCAACGGGTGGAACTGTATGACCCAATCCGCTGATCGATGAGGAAGTCATTTCACTTGTGGACATTGAATTTGTACGTTGGTTTCTCTTGTAATTGCCCTCACTCATGCGTCTTTGCGAGGGAACACCTACCCCACCGCCGCCACTGGAGCACAGTACATCGATGTGATGGTGTGATGAAGAGGCATATGACGATTGGGTTAGGTCACGATGGGATCTTGCACCACTTAACATGCTTGTGTTAGATTGTTGCGCCTGACGTGGTATTATTGCCGATTGTGACAAACGTTTGGCGTTGTTGTTGTTGTTATTCGTATTACTGGCAGTAGAAGCTTGATAGCTGTGTGTGGAAATGGTTTTGAGACAGACCTCCGATTTGGCATTCAGCAAAGCACCTTGTTTTAATTGATTTTGGCTACTCAGCAGCTTATCGATATCCCCCTCGGATTTGGTTCTTACCAAACGGGCGGCCTCCAAACGTCTCAATGTTTCCGAAGGTTCACCAAATTCCGGGTTCGATTGCGTTAAACGTCCCAGTAATTTGTGTTGTTGCCTTAGATTACTCAGTGAATGGTTGTTTTGTTTTTTAATCGACGTTTGCAAGGAACCCCCTTCGCCAGCCGTTGTACGGCTCACTACACCTTGCTGCTGCTGCTGTTGTTGTTGCGCACCCTTAATTGTTTTGGTCAGTTTTCGAAACAAACTTGTCCTTCCGTTTGCTGCACTCGCAGCAGAAGGGGGCAACAATTGATTCTCGCGCTTTTTGATAGCGCGCAAAGACATTTGGTATCAATGCCCCAAAGGAAACTTCCAGGCGGAGGAAGCTACGTTGCGGAACTATTATTTGCAAAAATTAGAAATTTGCATAAACAATGTGATGTTGTTGGTTACGACGACGATGTTTTATGATGACGGCATCCACCACACTCTTGAACTCTTGAGTGTCATCCAAAACAAAAAGAAAACTCAAACCACTACGGATATTTTTATAATTTTTGGGAACACAACCGTAATTGCAATTACAAACAAAGACTTGAGACGTTTAAAAACGCATTGGAGAAAAAAAAATTAACACAAAACGAAAAAAAATAAATAAAAACCAAAAAAAAAAACTATTTTTATGCTTGCTTTGTTGGTAGACGTTATTTGTTTTCTTTTCTACTAGAGAATAGTGTGGGCCAGAGAATAAGAAGCAAGTCGATTGAGAAACGGCGCCGTCGTGTACTTCTTTATTTTAGACGCCGCCACAATTTTTTCGGCTCATAACGCGCCTCAAGAAAAAAACGTTCCAATTTTTTTTCAAACACGTAAAATAAATTTAGGTAATTTGTATTAAGCAGGTTTACCTGCACAAGTCTCTCTTTGGGAGAGAGGGATAAGGGATAGAGAAATAGATAAAAATTCTCGAACTGTTATTTTTATACAAAAATATTAATAGTGCTGATAGAAAATGCAATGAAAAATTGTGGAAAACAAATTGTATGCATGTTCGATAGAGAACGGTTAAAATTGTGGCAATTCGCCTAGTCTCAATTTTGACTTAAAATATATAATGTTTTTAATAATTGTTTTGAACCAAAATCTGCAAGAATTTACAAAATTTAAAGCGAAATAGCAGATGCTCTGTTCCAGAATCTGAAAAAATATACTAGTTTTGCAATTTTTTTTTTTTTTTTTTTTGTTTTCATGAAGCGAAAATTGGCTATTGTAGTAAAAAGCATTTCAGGAAAAAAGCAAGAACCAGTACATTCTAATAACCAGTCGTTCTACTTAATGGACTACTACAACAGAGGAGACCGTTCGGCTTAGTAGTCTAGAAGTTTGAACGCACTATAGGCCGATATTTTTGACTTCTTTTGCAGATTTTGGTGGTATCGTTTGATAACAAAAATCATTATTCGAAGAAGATCCATGGTCTCGGTGACAACTTGTCCGATATATTAACGCAAAAAAAAAATCGGAAATAAAACTTTTCATCAGGCATTTGGTATAGTTCATGGTGGAGAATGCAGTTTTTTGTCGCATCGACACAGCTGTTGGGACAATGAACTATCAAACAAATTTTGAAATTGAAAATTTTGAATGAAAAAATATTCAAATTATTCGACGTGTCGTATAGGAAAACTTATAAAAATCAACACATTATTGAAAAAAATTTTAACATATCCCAGGCGTTGATTCATCTACCTGTATTCTTCTTCCATGGTACCGTTATTATTTTAGACATGATTTTGACGTCGTGCTCAGTCTTGCTACTTTTCCTATTTCCCTCATATCTAGCAGGGAACAACTCCAGTTTAGTAAAAACTCTTCGACTTTCTTCGGATCCGGGTCTAGTTAGGGTCTTGAACCCAGACCCTAACCCAGGGTCAAAAATCTGGGTCCCGGGTCCATCCCCCAATAAAAGAATAGTTTCCCGGAATCAGGGTAAAAATACCTACCTCTAGAAAAATCGAAGAGTTTTTACTAAAGTAGAGTTAAGCCTCTAGCAGCTAGGCAATTCTTTTTTTTCTGAACTTCTCCTTTTTCATATTATAAACTCGTGTAACTCATGTATCATATTTTATAGCTTTGAAATTGTTTTTTTTTTTTTTTTATCAACAAGTTATTTTCCATTCTGTGTAGTACACTTTAAGAAATTGATCTATTACCGAGCCACTTAAAATACATTTGTTGCCGCCAACAAAAATTCTGTAACGCCGATGAGTTGACATAAGCCGTACGCCGTTGTCGCCTACGTTAGCCAACCAAATTGATGCCGACTCGTGTTTTTTTATAGTTGTCGATTGCATTTTTCCAATTTTGAAAAGAAACCAAGTCATTTCTCAGACAAAACTATGGCTGACGTTTTGGATATTGATAATGCCGAAGAGTTTGAAGTAGATGAGGATGGTGATCGTAAGTTAATATTGTAATAAATACCACAAACGGTGATCTAAACAACAACTTTCTTTTTAGAGGGAATCGTCCGTCTCAAAGAGAAGGCAAAACACCGCAAAGGCAGAGGTTTTGGCAGTGAAACCACAACGCGTGAAACAATTCATCAATATGAACGTGTACGTCATGAAGATGACGATGAACTAGAACCCGGCCCACAACGTTCAGTGGAGGGTTGGATTCTGTTTGTAACAAATATCCACGAAGAAGCCCAGGAGGATGAAATACAAGAGAAATTCTGTGATTTCGGTGACATCAAAAATATCCACTTGAATTTGGATCGGCGAACGGGTTTCTCCAAGGGCTATGCTTTGGTCGAATTCGAAACACACAAACAGGCCTTGGCCGCAAAAGATGCTTTAAATGGTGCAGAGATAATGGGTCAAGCTATACAGGTCGATTGGTGCTTTGTTAAGGGTCCCAAACGTTTGAAGAAATCATCAGAAAAAAGGCGTCGTTGAAAAGAGGAATCGAATCACAGGATCAACGGCAATTTTATGACTAAAACTGTATTTTACATTAATATTTAAGACTTTTGCATTCACTCAACTCTGGTAAAAAAAAGTTCATGCATCTACATATATAAGTGAACCATTGCAAATATCGTAAATATAGTTAAATTATAAAAACGATGAAGAGACGCTACAATGAATTTTGAACAAATATTAACATTTTGTAATGTTATATGTACCTACAAAAGAAAAAAAATAAAATGAAGCTCAGATAACACCATGTACTCGGAAATGTTTTGTTGAACCTGACTTTATTGCTCTAAAATGCATTCGTACATTTCGCAAAATATTTAAACATATATTTATTTCTCACCTTTCCTGTATTCCTTAAACGAATATTTCCCACTTTACTGCGGAAATGAATGGAATAACATTTTAGAAATTTCTTTCAGAACTTACCACATTTTTTCAGACCTTCCCAAATAAAATCCAAAACAATTAAGATAAATATAAAAAATATTTATTTCTTAAAAATTGTAATTTTTATAACTTACAGTCAAACTTTTCGTATCTACTAATAGATAGCCAATCATTTCAAAATCAACTATTAGTACAATTATATCTAAAAAAATATGTAGGTACCTATCCACTTTATTTCATTTTCTTTATGTGCAACAAATGTTTACGCATAGCCTGCTGTTTATCACGGAAACTCTTCTTGACCTTCGAGCGGGCTTTGTAACGCATCATCACAAAGTTCTTGTGTTTTTGTTTTTCACGATTTGTTTTGGAACAATTCTCATTTTGTCTGCCGTCTTTCCAACCGAATTTTTCACGGTCTGTCCGACCACTGCGTACTGTTTCTAAACGACTTTCTTTGTCGTGTTTACGTTTCTTATAAATCATTTCAATATTGTCCAGTTTAACGAATTCTTGACGATCCTTCTCCAAGGGACGTTTGCGGGCATTCGTTACAGTTTTCTTTAGATTGGCTGTGTTGATCCGTTTAAAGTCTTCGTCCGTGAATATACGGGTTAAGGCCAATTCTTGTGCCGCCTCTTTTTCACTCAAAATTTTAGCTTCTGACTTTTGGGATTTTTTCGAAGCTTTCGATGTGTTCGATGATATGGAGTTCTTACGGGAAACATTCTTATTTTTCGGCTCATTTGGATTTTTCTCTTTCTTATCTGAGTCTTCCTTATTTTCTTCGTTGTCCGAATCCTCATCTTCTTCCTCGTCATCTTCATCATCGTCCTCCTCATAGTTTTCACTGTCACATTCCTCGCCATTATCTTCATCATCATCTACATCTTCATCATCCTCTTCCCCATCATCCGACAAATCTTCCCCATCATCTGACACGTCTACCCATCCACCATCATTGGAATCGGTGTCATCATCATCACTACCTAAATCGATGGTCTTAGATGATTTTAGCAAAGCCTCGGCACCAGGTATAGTCTCATGCACCTCCACCTGGCCATATGCCTTGGGCTTGTGTTCAGCCTGAGCCTCGGTTAAACGACCTCTATCCTTTTTATGTAACAATGCTGGCAATTGTTCTCTGTACAACATAATCAAGGAACGTGCTGCCATCATGACGGATTTTTCTTTGTATGCTTTGTACATTGCTAAATCGCGCAGTAAATCTTCACCCATGGCCAATGGACATCTTTGACAAATCTCACGTGTGGCGTTCAAGCCAATGGCCATCACATCAGAAGAATTGCGTTCGGTGATGAAATTATTTGCTATTGTCTTCAGTATGGGTTCTATAACATCTCCTGGAACCAGAGGGTGGGAGGCTTGGGCAGCAAATTGCAAAATACGAGTCACCTGTCTCTGATGAGGCTGAATAAAACGGGTAATGTAGGGATAGTAAGAAAACAGGAACAACTCGTGAATACCAATAAGACGTGAAATGACATCCAAATGCATCAACTTCACTTCAAAACGTTCATTGTTGTTCTGTAACTGCTTGAACAATCCTTCGGCCAGACCCTGCGGATTGTGTATCAGATGTATGGCCGAGAAATTGAAGGCAGGTGCATTCTTCTTTTTCTTTTGAGCCTTGACAGCTTGCTTCTTTAACTGCTCCAATTGCTTCTTACGTTTTTTGGTCTTCTTATTTACACGACTTTGTAGCAGAGCACCCTTCAAATCGACTTCATTTTCACTATCTGAATCATCGGAACCCTTGTCTTCCTCATCGTGTCCCAAGAAGAATTTCAATGAAGCAACCAATACTTTTGTGATTTTGGAAAAACATCCAACTGTGGCAATAACGTTCACCGTCTTCTCATCGTTCCAAATGTTCTTTTTGTACAGATCTATCATAATATCCACAGACATTTTGGCCGCCTTGGGATTAGCATCTTTCAGCATGGAGTACATGAAATTCTGTAGACTAGAATTCAGTTTCATATCCTTATGTTTGGCATTCATATTTTTGATATCGGTTATTATGTGATTTTGTAAAAAGATACGCAAATGTTTGTCCGGACAACGCAAAAGTTGGAAGAACAGCTCCAATAAATCCAGGGCAGGGATGAGATTTTTATTGCGCAGCAATATCAAAGCCTTAACAAAGCAATTACGCATTGCCGGGTCCAAGGTGGTGGCATGATTCTTTAAGAGATCTACCAAATGTTGTGGAAACTGGAGGCACACCTCCGGATAACATTGAGCCACCTGCAAAGAAGCTGTTGTTATGACATGGTTTTAAATTAGTATATTGTTTTCCCACATACCTGGGCAATAAACATAACCAGCTCATCCAGAGACTTGTTCTCCTCTGTTGGATTGAGGGCAAATACTTCCAAACTACTTAGGAAATGGCGATACTGTTGTTGAAACTCATCTTTATAGGACTCGGGATCGCGTTTTATTAAATTCTGCAGTTGCGGCAAATTATCCGGCAACTGATTATTGTGCCGTACCATATTTAATAATATTCCACAACAAATTTAACAAATTTAATGAAAAACAAGTTAAATAAGGAAAGATATAAGTGGCTAGTGCCCAAAACAACGGACACGTTTTTTATGTTAGGTATCCCAAAATCGAAATTGACATTTAATGGTGCCGTCAGCTGGGCTGATGCGATTACCTAGTACATCTACCTTGCAAGTACGTATGTTCGTCTGAAAAAGAAGAAGCATATATGTCGGTTATTAATTCTGAATCCACACAGGGTCCATCGAGTGGATGCTCGAAAATTTGAAATAAAAAATATTTCCTTTATGAAAGCCCAGGAGAATCCACGAGTAAGTTTTTCGCCAGAGCCTCTTAAGCGAAAACAGGGGCCACCATGTGTGGGCGAGGTTGACATTTGGAAAGGAGAGGCTTTGTGTACAAAAGTTTTGTATTCGCTTCACTTTCCCATATAACCCCCATCTATAACTAGAAAATAAATATATGTATTAAAAACATTAAAACAGTAAAAATTCTAAATACTACAACTACGGCTATATATACAAAAGTACAAAAAAAGATACGTTTCAAACCATTGTTACGTTTCGTATATTTCTGATTATCTGCTCTATTGTGACTTATTTAAAAGATTTAAAAAAAAATATTCCAATAAGCCAACAGGGACCCCCTAATCATCATTTTGTAGGTAAACGCAACTCGAAAAACAAGCAGCAAAAGCTCAATATCCACGATAAACCAAATATCAGACAGACGTAAACGGAACAACCAAACCAAACGTATCAATCGGACAAATAAAGGCTAATGAGTGGCAAAAGAAGATACTGTTATACGTTAGACATTTTAATGTATTAGTAAAAAAAAAAAAGCGCAAAGCGAGGCTTCTAACGTGCGTCTTGTTTTTGTATCAAATGAAAACAAATCAAGTGGCTTGTATTATTAAAAAAGACGTTACGCGTTAAAGCACTTTTCGGACCAAAATAATGTTCTGTCAATAGATCTGGTTAGTTTAATAACACAATCTGTGGTGTGCGCCTTTAAAAGGGGTATCCCTGAAAATAATTGATAGCTAGAAGAAGAAGAAGAAAAATGTTGCCAACCATTACTAGGAGACAGCTGATTATTCCAATTACTTAAATGTCAATATTAGGGAATAATATAAAAAGAAAATGGAAAAATTAAGCGAGGAAAATGGCAGCCAGAATTTCCTGGCAAAAATTGTAAGAAAAATCGGTCCTTTTTGATTTACCTGCGAAGAAGATTGGATGTGTGGCTCCCTGTAACCAGCGAAGAAAAAAAGCCGACAAAGTTTTTGGTGATGAACCACTTGCTGAGAAGTGAATTCAATGTTTTTATTTATTTGAAACACATATACAAACAACACGAAATACAAACTTTTTTTACAAAATTGGAAGCCTTAAAATAATTTAACAAAATTTAACAACAAAAGGCTAAAAATTGAAAGAAAACTTATAACAAAACAAATAGTTTTCACAAAAATGGAAAATTAAAAGAAAAATTGAACTTTTTTTAAAATTAAACAAAGTTTGGAAACAATTTAACAAAATTGAAAAGAAAAACCAAAACAATTAACTAAAAATCTAAACCAAGAAAATAAATCTTAAACCTAAAAATTCATGGAGAATTGGAGCCTACAAGCCACACCATCGCCCATCCAATCCATCGAGGGAGCCGCTGATTTTGCGCCATTGCTAACCCAGCGTGGCTTGGTATTCCCAACCGACATTTTATACAAGAAACCTCGGACAGACAGACGGACGACGAAGCATCATAATTAAATTCCGCGGTTTTTTCTGTAAAAAAAAAAAAGGAGAAATATGAATTAGAAGGGGAAACAAATGAAGTAAATTTTAAATTTTAATCACCTTTTGGTTAGTCTGTAGGTACACGACGTTGAACAGAGCTCTATTCAAGGTTAGGTAACCAGGCTTTTAATCCGTTCGTCGATTTTAAGTGCTATCGACACTCCATCTTTGTTTGCCTTTCCTGAAATTAAATGAAAGAAATATAATTAATAAAAAGTCAACGTGGAATATAATTAAAAAAGCTAAACTTTAAAACAATACTTACGTACATACTTGTTGGGAAGAACCACAATTGCAAGCTGCCTTTATTGCACCCTAATTTTTGTCATCAGAAAGCGCAATCTAAAAGAAGAAAAAGAAAAGTTTTTTTGTAATCTTTGGCAAAATAGTATTTATTCATTGAATTGAAATCATTATTATATTTGAACGCAAACATTAAAGTTAGCATGTAATTTTTTTTGAATTGTTATTTGGGTATTTAAATAGTTTAAATAAAATGTACCAATTTTATATAGAAGACAAATATGTCCTTGGCTTAAAGCCCTTTTTAAAAGGTGGTGGTAATGGTATAAAATGCGGTAAGTCAAGGGTCAGATCTGGGACGTCCAGTATGAGTAGACGTCATGGCGAGAGGTGTTCTCGGAGGGAGGGCTATCTCCTGGCTGGTCAGCCGCCAGGAGCACTGTTTCTGTGAAAAAAAACTAATGTTATTTTGGGATTTGGTTGCAGTTAGGTGAACGTTTTCTTCTTTTTAATTTTTTTGTTGACATGTTTCAGGCTTCTTTTTACCCATCTTTTTGATTTAGTTTGAAGTCCGGTATGATTTTATTTGTTTGTTCAACCGAAAAGATCTGCAAGTGGCAAGAACCAACCCCCAATCCGACGAGCCATAGCCGCGCTAAACGCCAGCATACCGGCAACGCCACTTAATGGTCAACACAGCGATTTCATTTCGTTTTTCTAGATCACGGTTGTTACAAATCGGATCTAGATTTAACTTTAATAAGATCATTAAAAGCAGGTCTACCACCGCAACGTTTCCTAATTTCTCCAAAGTCATACTCTATGCCATCATTGACACAGTGTTTAGGTTTAATCCCTTCATACTCCAGCAATAGAGACGTCATTGTTTCCAATGATTGCTGAAGCATAAAAGGTATGTTGCCGCACTCAACAAATTGCAAAAAAAATATGGATCTATAAGCTATTGCGCACGCCTCATTTTTATCATTATTTATGAAATTGTTCGTGCAAAGCTCTACAATTGGTATTATACCAGCAAATAATTTTTTGGTCGCCTCTACCATTACTTGCTCGGTTTCCGAAAATATATCACTGTCGAGAGCGGCAAGCACGTTTCTGTTAAAAATAGCTGCCGCTCTATCCATTGGCTTATTTTCGTATGAATACGATTTGTAGTAGCTTGTTGCAAAATGAGTTTTTTGCAATTGCGAACAAGTAATATTACTAGCATCTAAATCGTTTTTAGACTCAAAAATTTTGAAAATTAGTGCGGGAGAAGCGACGTCTATCTGTTTGCCCAACCTGCTTTTAATAAAAACTTGATTGTCTAAAAAGTAATTTAATAAATTAGTTAGCAAGTGGGGAATATCGAACATACAATGTAAAGTATCTTCTGAATTTGGAGGAAAGCACAGACGATTTGGTCCAAGGTAGCCGCGATATTGCTGGAAGAATTGAACATGAACAGAATGTCTATCGCAAATTAGTGAAACTATTTTCAATGATAGTCCCTTTAGCCCAACGAGTACTTCTCGAAGTACACCTTCCAGTACCGAAATGCTATATTCCCGTGTTAGTAAAAAGCCTAATAGTATCCACCACTCGTTACATAACCCACTAAGCTGCAGTCCTAAAGAATATGTAACGACATTACTGTCCGTGTCAGTAACTTTTAATGAATCAAATTGGATTGCACACGTACGTTCCTGTTCAGTCATCCCTTCAATAATAGTGTGCAAATTTTCTTTAACATCATCGTCAAATCCCACGAGAGTTGGTTTCGTTTGCCAACTTAGAACACTTTCGGTACTGGGGAGAGCAATTTAAAACTTATCTATCATGTATTCATAATTTTCTTTTGATAGAAGTTGAAGGTGTTGTACTACATCTAACTGCTCAGGTGTGTACGGGGGTGTTGAGTCATTTGTGATGACGCGAGCAAATGCAATACTGGCTTTACTTGCCTCCTTCCCTGGGAAAATTCCATTTGCTAGGAGAAACTCAACTTTTTCTTCAAGTGCCGCCACTTTTGCAAGTAAAAGTTCATTTTCTCTTTGCAAACAGATATCTTTGTTTATACTTGATTCTTCTTCTTCTACTACACTACTTATATTATTATTAATTTCTAAATTTTCTACATTTACTTCACATTTGAACTCATCAATATCTAACCTCTCATTAGAAACGATTCCCTCAACATTGTTTCCAAAATTAACACCTATAAATTATATAAATTGTTAGGTGTTCATAACAGTTAGTACAGTTAGTGATAAATAAGAAACATGCAACGGTATACATTATTGTTAAATATAGGTGTTATATATACAATTATACATCATATGAAATATTCATAGCGTCGCACAGAGCGATGAAATCACAAAATTTAATTGAAAAATAAAATTGATTAATTGAAAACTAAAATTCGTCTTTTGGAATAAATACTTTTAAAAATTTCAAAGTCATACCAAAGACCTTAAATGGTAAAGACTAGAGAAATTGCATTGTGAGCAAATGGTTTGTGTCTACAATACAAGAGTAACAGCTCATTACAGAGGCAGGCATGTTAGGCATGTTAATATTGTTAATATATCATAACAACAGACGTATTTTTACAGGGTTATTCATATTGTCTCTGTCTTGTCCTATCTTTGGCCATACGTTGTTTAGTTTTACAGTGACAAAGTTTAGAAATATTTCACTTCATCACAAGAAGAAGTATTTTATATAGTATTTTTATTTTATTATTTTAATTGGGACGTATCATATAATTAATGTCTATACCCCCAACCATATGTATATCCTATATGATCCTACCTTTAAGACCTTAAAACATAACTTTAAATGCAAATATTTTTTGATAACCTTTCAGACATTCCTTGGCAAAGCGTTGCTTATGTTGGTTGCTAGTAGTATTTATAATTCAGTCATAATTTAGAATAGCTAGAAGAGCTAGTTATGCAACACTGTCTAAAAAGAACTTACCTTCATCAGCTACCAATGTGGGCAAATACAAAACTGGCATTGCATAAGATGAAAGCTGTACCGGATATGTTTTTCTTGAAAACATATTCTGTTTGAAATGCCTACCGCATATTCGAGACGTCTTTTTTGTTGGTATACCATGTTTTTCTAATAGAATTGTCTTTCATGCATCCTTTATGCCATGCATACTTATTTCCTCGGGGCAAAATCTAATGAGAGAGTTCTCGCACCCAGGGACGCAGCACTGTCGAATTCTAGACATAATGGAACATCTAAAATGGAAAAACAAAACAACCAGTAATTTATATTAAAACCTAATAATGTTTTCATTTTGGAAAATATGGAAATATGGAGATAACACATTTACAAATCGATTTGTATCAAGGTGTGCTTGCAGATCCGGGTATACACGGCACGGATTCAATACGGATTATACATTAATTAATTAAGATAAAGCACTTAATTGAATCACTTCCCAGGCATAGCCGGAGTGTAAACCGAAACCGGCAGAAGAGGCAGATGGACTGGATTGGCACTGCGCAATTTCTTCCTTTTATTTTCTAACTTAATATACTTTCTTATTACACTTCCACTTCAATTGGTGGGTCTAATTGGACCTTTGACCACAAATTCCACCAATTAGATATTGGGGATATTTGGTATTGATTTAATGTCTCTGTCAATATACATACATACATACACGCTAGGATTATTAGGATTATTATAATTATTATAATTTAAAGTTCTAAAGACTAAATATGCCGAAGCATTTGTATCTTTTAAATTCGGGCTTGTATTGCCCATTTGATATATATGGGAGCTATATCCAAATCGGAACCGATCTCGATAAAATTTGGCAAAGATATTTCTGAGCAGTATTTGAACATTTCCCTGAATATCGTTGTTACGGAGTGCATATTACGGCTGTGGGTAACAAATGACAAATCGGATGAACAATATATGGGAGCTAAAGCTATATCTAAATCGATCTTCGTACTTACTTGTTTGTGGGAGTTATTTAGTCGGAATCGGTTGAAGATATATATGGGAACTACAACTAAATTTGCAAGATTTGGTTTTTTGGATTTGTTTTCAATAACTTATAGCTTAAACCTTTGTGCTACATTTTAAAGCTCTTGACTAAATAAGATGGACTTTATCGTGAACATAGCTAAATCGTACAATAACTTTTTTCTGATCAGGGCTGATAATACACGTTTGATGTACAATAAAAGGCAAATCGGACGAGGATATATATGGGAGCTATATCTAAATTTTGACGGATTATCTCCAACAATTTCAATAGGGTTCGTCCTTGGGCCAAACAAATGACTTGTGCAAAATTTCATATGAATCAGACAATAAATGCGAACTGTACTTTGTTCACAAAAATATATGGACAGACGGACGGAAATTTCCAATTTCCGATATTTGAATTCAAATGTGCTGATGGTATTGCGTATTCATGTATACAATGCTCTGGAACAGAACCTGCAGATCCGGTTCTAACCCGGGACTTAAACCCGTCGTTTGGGGCGTTTGGAGTCAATATTGAGTTCTTGGACAAGGTAGCCGTATCAAATATGTACTTGACAATTGTTAGATTTTACTGTATAATTTTATTTGTTGATTGCTAGCTTCGTTTGTATTGAAGTTTAAATATTTTATTGTTTTACAAATAGCTATTATTTTACAAAAATTATTGTTCTACTTCAAAGCAGCAAGAAAAGTGCAACTCTGTATTGAAGTCTTATTAGATGTTGCTGGTTACCCTTAAATTTGTAACAATTGTAAAGTGTTACTGGAAGTCCGTTAACACAAATATCTGCAAAAGAAAGCGAATTGCTGGAAAAATTTATTCTTGCAATCACTTGCAGATATTCTTCTCCTCCTTCCGATGACTTATATTTGGATAGGCTATTTATTTATTTATTTTTTTTTTTTTTTGGAAATGGCAATATATTTTTTTCGTTCCCTCGGCTGATTTTTTATTTCTGCACGAATAATTTCTGTTTATGTCGAACAAAATGTTTCGTTTTTACAAATCAGTTGATTGCTTTTAAGTTTTTGCTGTTTACTTTTCACAGTTTTCTTGGAAAAGAGAACAAAACTTTCTTACTCCCTCAGGAAGACGTTGCTGCCGTCGTTGTTTCTTATAATTTGACATTAAAATGTCAAGACTATCTGCCTATGTACCCTCACCTTAAACATTCAACCATTGCCTTTTTTTATTTTAAATGTTTTCATGTAATTCTTATATTTGGGAGAAACCCACAAAACATGAAGAGAATGTTGATGTTAATCCACAAAATTGAGTCCATGATAGGAAATAATTGTATCATATCATATGTTGAAAAAGGTTAAGTTTTCTTTAAACAAAAATTGAGATCTCTTTTTCTATTTTTTACACTTTTTGGTCAAGAAAAAGTGGAAATCTAAAAAAAAAGAATTTTTAATTTCTTTACAATTTCTTATTGAAATTGATTAAAAAAATCTGCAAACACTTATGTTTTTCAATTCATCTTAAATCATATTTTCATCAGTTGTTTGAAAGCGTCATTATTGTTGATCTGATTTTGAAGATTTAGCTCAGTTTTGCTACTCTTCCGTTGTTGATTTTTTTCAGATGTTTTGTTTCTGTGAGACAATATAACCCTTTGCTCTCCTGCTACTTTTGCCACTGAAAAACTACGTGAACGAAGCTATTAATGTATAATGTATAGTCGTACAGATATGTGTAAACATACTGTACATTTTGCAAATTCTTCACCCTGACACATAGACAAAAGAAAATATAGACGACGAAAAGTTAAGGGCTAAGTACATAAGAAGCTAGAAGTCATGGCACGGCCTATTTTGTGACATTTCACAAAGGAATTACAGAGCCGCACTAAAATCCTGCCGTCGTTTTTCATTATAATTTGGCATTAATATGCCTAGCCATGACTTCAAGCTTTTTATGTATTTGCAGCCTTATGCTAGGAACACAATTGGAGCGAACGACGAATTTTTTCGCGGCGTATGTTCGTCGTCAAAAATAAAACACATACGTGTATATGGAAGTGCACACAATCACGGCACCGGCGAAAATTTCGTCGGTCGCCGCGAACTCAATTAGCTTTATTTCTATTTCATACGCCGGCGACCGGCGAACAAAACAGTACAAGGTGGCCATACATGTACGAATTTTATGTGTTTTAGTAAATAAAGTTACTTTTTACTTTAAAATTTGTTATGGTCACTCTACTATCTGTTACTCGTATAAAAAAAACATAATTAATTTGTTTATTTATTTGTGTACTTGCGCCTGAGTGAAGATGGATATCAGTGAATTTATAATAGAGAAGATGGACATAAGTGAAATTATAATAGAGAACGTAAAGAATTATGTGTTCTTGTATAATTCATTGTAGTCAACAAATGAGCAAAAAGTAAACAACTTCATCAGCTGTTTTATAATTTCGTCGGTATTGTGTTCCATACGACGAATTTTCGCGGCTCATTTTGTCGCCGCGTAGGGCGAAATTCGTCGTTCGCTCCAATTGTGTTCCTAGCATTAGTTTGGTCTTTTTTTCCAGGTGGCTCTCATCATGTTTTGCATAGTCAACATGCTGATTTACGCGTTCAAGCCACTCGACTTCGAAAACACATTTTATCGTTTTTCAAGAATTTCACTGGAATATTACCATATTTTTCGATGTCATTACGTACTTTTTACATTTCTTTTATTCTGAAATAACTTTCAACTGATAAATATCCTACAGTTTTTGTTATTTTTAACATTTTTGAATTGAGTGACTTCAAAATTCCCACTCAAACCCCTGAAACGATATAGACGACATCTGCTGATCCGATTTTTTTTCGAAGATAAACGGTGAGAGCATTTCCATGTCTATAGTTGTGTTCCAGAACCCACAAATTTGTACTAATTAGTGCTAATTCTGCTACAACGCGTTCCCAAACTCCAAAAACTAGCAAAACTTGCAGCTCTCTCGAGAAAAAATGGCGCTGAGTGGTGCACATTTCTGCTTGTTTAGCTACATGAATTTGGCCGAGCAGAAATGTGCAAATTGTAAATTTGAAATTTAATTGGCAGGTTGAAAAATGTTTTGATACATTTCAATGTTCGCGCGTGACAACAAATGTGAAGAAAAAAGATAAATTAAAAAACTACAGAAAAACTAATACTTGTCGTGCAAAAAACAAAAAAGAGAAAATATGGAGCAACTGATGTATTCACTTTTGGATGATTCCAGCAGTGAAGAGGACTGGCTGAATGAGGAATCAGACGGAGAAAACGTATTGGAAAACAGTGCAAAATTAGTGATAGGTAATTGAAAAATTAAGCTTAAAATCAAAGATGTTCGCTTATTACTGCGAACATTTTCTTTTTTTTTATTTTTTAGGTTGGCTGTTTTTCCAAATTATGGCGTTAAGTCTTCTATTAACTAAACCGGCGGCTCCAACCAGGTCAGCTTCTCCGGGGTTGGGATTTGAGAAAACTCCACCTCTAAATACTCTTCAATGCATTCTGAAAACAAAACTTTCTAAATAAACAGCATTCAAAAATATTTGTTAATTTTAACTTATTTTCAATACTCATTTTTTTAAATTTTGGCGTGCATTTCAGTAAGGTTTCACCAGTCCGATTTAGAGTGTTTTCTTTTGGAATTTTGAATGTTGGCCTTTTTTCGCATTTCTGCTAATTTTCCGTTCCCTTATTTTTTGAGCACACCTAAACGAGAATGAGATTTCGTACTGTTCTCTCTTCTGCTAGTTTTACTACTAAAAAAGTACTGGAACACAACTTATATTTTCATTTGTCTATGCCTGACAGATTCTGCTGCTGGCTCTCGATTGTCATAAATCGATTTGCAGATCTCTTGTGAGAATGAAAAAATATTTTTTAATTTGAAAAATCACACGCACAGGGAACGCACGGAACGAGTAGAGAACAAGTACATAATTTCCCAAGGTTAAATGTCGGATGAAAATCATTAACATTATCGGTTAAAAATAAACTCCTAAATAAAATTTCAATAGAGGAAAAAGAGAGACGTTAATAACTCCGTTGGCATTTACGAGAAAATCAATTGCAAAATAACAGCTGTTGTGTGCGTCAGGCTTGAGATAAAAGAGGGAAAGTAGGGAAAGTACAACAAAACACCGCAAAATCATGGCCAAACATTCAGGTGATGCAGCATTAGATGAACAAATTGATATGTGGCTGAAGTGGGACCGCAATGAAAAGACACTGAATGAAATCAAGCAAATGATAACATCAAATGATTGGGACCAATTAAAAAAGAGACTTCTAGAACGATTGGCATTTGGTACGGCCGGTTTGAGGGGGTGTATGCGCGCTGGCTTCGATTCAATGAATGATTTGGTAATTGTTCAAACGGCCCAGGGATTGTGTGAATACATTAAGACACAATACAAACAGGACGAGTATCAGCGGGGTGTGGTATTCGGCTATGATGGCCGTTACAATAGCGAACGTTTTGCAGAACTATCATCGACAATATTTGTTCAAAATGGCATTAAAGTATTTCTCTACAGCCGGATGGTAGCCACACCATTTGTTCCATTTGCAATATCGCAAAAGAATTGCTTGGCCGGCGTTATGGTAACGGCTTCACACAATCCCAAAGAGGACAATGGCTATAAAGTCTATTGGGGAAATGGTGCACAGATTATTGCACCCCACGACAAGGGAATACAGCAGTCTATACTTGACAATCTTGAACCCAAAGAAGAATCGTGGAATACGGGCTTTTTGAAAAATTGTGATTTGTTAGAGGATCCATTTGAAGAAATGTATGCAGCATATTATAAGAACCTGTTGCAAAATATTCCTCAGATATTTAGGGATATTAACAAGAAACACAAGGAATTGGGCGACATAAAATTTGTTTACACAGCAATGCATGGTGTAGGTTGGCCTTATGTCGAAAAAGCTTTTGAAGAGGCCAATTTGCCAGCTCTCTTGCCAGTCGAAGAACAAAAAGAGGCTGATCCTGATTTTCCAACTGTGAAGTTCCCAAATCCCGAAGAGGGTAAAAGTTCTTTGGAATTGTCCATAAAGAAAGCCGAGGCTGAAGGTGTCACAGTTATTTTGGCTAATGATCCCGACGCCGATCGTTTGGCATGTGCAGAAAAGGATCCCAAAACCGGTGTGTGGAAGGTAAGTACTTCAGCCTCTACAATATTTTAGACTTTTGTTGTCGGGAACAAGGTTCTTTTTGACGAAAACAAGGAAAATCATCTGAAATAAATAGAAAGGTTATTAATTTTATCAACTCTAAGTAAACATATTTTTCGCGGAACATTGACTTATTCATCGAGTTAAGTGGGCTGTGACATCACCTAACAATACAACAACATAAATTAATACCCCCAATCAGGGGATGAACAACTCAATTAATGTTATCTGAATAGCCGATAAGTGAAGACAAGGCAATTCGGGTTAAACATTCAATGCCAGTGTAAAAATTCGTTTCGTATGCCTTTAGAGATTCATTTATGTTTATCAAAAAGATTGAGGGCGATAGCAATCTTGGTTCTTAGCAACAAATGCTGAGATTAGAAAATACACACCTCCAAACAAAAAAGGTGAATTTATATTTGCATTAATTTATTCTGATGAAATAACCATAACTGGAAACACTTTTAACCTACTGCCATAACCATATTTATACGAATAATCAGAATGTAAACGTGATTTCCTTATTTGCACGTACATACCTATATTTATTCGTCAGCATTGGCATTCATTTTGCAAAAAGGAAATAATAACAATACAGTATCAATTTAAAAATACATTTAACTTGACATTAACATTGATATCAAGTGTTCCACTTATAAGTATTCGCACAATTCGCATATATTTGGAAAGGCATACGGCGATTGCACGCCACAGCAAACTTTCTTAAAATGATACATATTAATCTGAAACGGGTTTCGAAAAGAGATAACACATCTTATGTCAATATTGATAATAAAACAAACATAAACAATTCTGTTATTCCCTTAACGTCATATGATTTAATAAAGCCAATCAAAGGCTGCAAATCATATTTTGAGTAATTTCACAATTCCCGCATTAGATTTAAAGGAAATTTAACTTGGTCCGTTGGTGCCATTGCAGTTATCTAATCAAGCATGGGAAAAATCTATGTAAAATCACTTGGAATTGCCTAGAAACAATGGGTTGCTTTGCGGCCAAAAATCTTTGTAAAGTTCATAGCTGGTTTGGGAATTGTCACATATTTTTATAGAATACATTAAGAAAGAATTCTTGTCATGGGACACCTTTAGAAAATCTTCTTTCCATATACCTTTAGAATGTATTGTAGCCGAAAAAGGTCTTTAGAAAATCTTGTCTTAGAAGACATTCAGAAGATCATCCGTACGTATTCCAGTCATAGCTGTCCTTAAAAAAGTTTTCTACCATATAACAATGTCGGATTGTCTTCTGTTTTTTGAAAAAGTTTCGTGGGTCTCCTATCATAGGTCACCTTTGAAATGATTTATATTCATGGAAGGCTTTAGGAATGCCATATATATTTTGTAAATAAATTAAGAAGATATCCTTGTGAAACGCATTTAGAAAATAATCTTTCCAAAGACTTTTAAAATGTATTTTTGCCGTAAAGTCTTTAGAAAATCGTTTTTATTTCGAAGTGGCTCTTGGCAAGCTTTCAGAACGTATTCCAGTCAGCAGTTCTAAAGAATGCCTTCTAACCATAGAAGAAAATTGGAAAGTTTTCTGTTTCGTAAAAATCTTTAGTAATTCTTTTATTATTGGTCTCCTTTTAAAGGTTTTCTATTATTGGATGGATTTATCTTCTATCTATGAACGGTTTTAAGAATGTTCCCTATCCATAAAATATTTTGAGAGAGTACGATGTTATCTTTACCAGAGTAATCCTTCAGAATAACTTGGAGACCTTCTTGTCAAAAAGTCCACCGTACCAGAGATATGTTATCAATATTAATGTTTTTTCGTTACATACAACTTTTAGATGACCTTTTGGTGGAAGAAGTTTTCTTAATGGTCTTCTAACTTCTGTACACTGAACAGCTCAAATTTCCCTTCTAACCATAAACTTTAAAAGGATCTCTATTATTGTAAGGACTTATCTAAGCATTTTCATCGCAAAATCCTTAAAAAATACTTCTGGGAAACACTTAAAAATTGCTAGGGTGTAAAATTTTCCTTTCCACTCCTACACAACCAATTATTAATATATATTTCTCTCACTTTCTCTATCTACCTTCTTTTCAGGTCTTCAATGGCAACGAGCTGGGAGCTCTCATCGGTTGGTGGTCTGTACAAAACTATAAAGCTCTACATCCTGACGTCGATTTGGGGGATTGCTATCTACTTGCCAGTACTGTTAGCTCTAAGATTTTGCGTTCCATGGGCCAGGTGGATGGTTATAATTTCGTAGAAACTCTGACCGGTTTCAAATGGATGGGAAACGAAGCCATACAATTGATGAATCAAGGCAAACAAGTTTTATTCGCCTTTGAGGAAGCTATTGGGTTTATGTTCTCTACCTCAGTCTTGGATAAGGATGGCGTCAGCGCTGCCACACATCTTGCCACAATGACATGTTACCTCAAAGAAACCCAAGGCATAACTCTGACCGAAAAACTTCAACAAATCTACGAAACATATGGTTATCATTGTACCAATTGTTCTTATCTGTTCTGTGATAAAGCTCCTGTTATCAAGCGAATATTCGACCGGCTGCGCAATTTCCAAGATGGCAAACCCAATACCTATCCCAAGTCCATACTCAATGGAGAATTTCCCATTGCAAATGTTAGAGATTTAACAACAGGTGTCGACACGGCCCAGGCAGATGGTAAAGCCGTACTACCAGTTAGTTCCAGTACACAAATGATTACCTTCACATTTGAAAATGGTTTGGTTATTACATTGCGTACAAGCGGTACCGAACCCAAAATCAAATACTATGCCGAATTGTGTGCCAAGCCACAAGAGAAAGATTGGCCAGCCTTGCGGGCCACATTGGATCGAATGGTTGAGGCAATTGTTGAAGAGTTTCTACAACCAACCGTCAATGATTTAAAGCCCAAAACAGATTAATAACTTAAACATAAGTTAGCACAATTTTAAGTTCATCCGTACTATATAAATATCGTCGCCATTGTATTGTGCGTTTCTATGTATATGTATTTAAAGAAAAGAAACACAAAATATGTTTGCTTCGTTGAAATCCGTTGTACATAAATATTTATATGTATGAAAATATTAACTTGACAATACGCATTTTCCATTGCGGCATGTGTTTCTCAAATTTGTTTGACCACACAAACGACTTTATTTAATTTTTATATATTTAAGTATACATTTTAATAAATAGATTTCAAAATTCTCTCGTATAGTAACGCACAGTATATATGTATTTTTTATTTGTTTATATGTGTGTTGTACGCATTTATCCCCATTGCATTGTAGTACCAAATATAATAAACGGCATTTAATTTATTAAATAAATTAAGAATTTTGTTTATTACTTTGGTGAGATACTGGGTGATGGATTGTGAGGTTTAACTGCTTATATTGGATATACAAATTGGGTATGCACCAAAGTCGTCATAACAAAAAGATGGGAGAGCCAAGTGAACATTCCTTTGCCGAAGTGAAGTCATGATATTGGTAGCAATCAAATATTGCGAAGCTGTTGAAAAACATTACTCTCTGTAATAAAGAGTTGTATGAAGTTAAGCCCGAGGGGGGTGCGTTTGAAGCTTGTACCCGACCATTTCGGATTGGAGGCAAACTGTATTTTTAGAAGTCTAACTCTGAGTTGTATACAGGGTGAGATGAAAAAACTACAACCAACTTCAGACTGACGTCATTTCTAATCCACTCTTCCGACAGATGTTAAAATTATTCCAGTGACTGCTCATTATATTGTTTACAAGCGTACAAAAGCATTTTGGTGAGAATTTTCCAGAAAAAAATGTGAATAAATCTTTTGTGTCTCGTACCGTGATACTGGTAGCGCAGCCCGACATCAAGGAAATGGACGGAAGAAAGCAACGTGAGCTGAACCTATCGCAATATTCCATTCGGCAAATGTTGAAAAATGAGCCCGAGGTAAAGCCGTAAAAAAACATTCGTTGTCCTGCAATTTGTAAACAAACAAAATGATCGTGTTTACTTGCCAAAGAGGTCAGCTGAAAATGTGCAAATGAAATGTGAAAATGGACCACCAGAACTCAAGCGCCGGCCATGATGATGGTGTGGGCAGCCACACCATGGTCGATCATCAGAATAAATGCCGAATATTATCGCGAAAATATTCTGGATGGTGTATTAAAGCCTTGGGCAAGCAAACATTTTGGCCGCAGACCTTGGACATTCCAACAGAACTCAGCGCGCGCCACCAAGAATAATTTGGTGGCGTACAATAGCCACCAAACTCTGCAGATACCAGACCGTTGGATTATTGTGTCTGGAGTATTTTTGAATGCAAGGTTGGCAATAAAAAATACCAAAGTGTCAATCACCTCAAGCAAGCGCTTCGCCGGGAATGGGCCAAAATACCGCAGAGCAACATTCAGGCAGCGTGTGACGGTTTCATTGGCAGTTTAAAAGCCATAATTCGTGCCAAAGGTGACCAATTAGAAAAAATCTAAACTTATTCTAAAATTTGATGCTATTTCCGACATATTTTTCGTTCAATAAAATTTTAAGAAAAATGTAAAAAAAACTATTGCAATTTCTTTATCTCACCCTGTATAAAAAAATAAATAAAAAAATTTAAAAACCTGGCTTAATCTGTTTCCTGTGATGAATATTATATATAATAAAAACGACTCCAATTCCGTTTGTATAAAATTATTTCAGCATTTATTAAAAATGTCATCTGGTTTTTCATATATAAATATAAATACTTTTTTATTGATATAGTGCGTGTTTATCTTACAAAACTAAATATATATTGGATTTTTTCTGTTTTCATTTATTAAAATCGATAAAATATTCTCATCATACATATATCTAAAAGCTGCTATATATTGTTCTTATTAACACTAAAGAAATAAAAAATAATAATTAGCTAAAATACAATATTAAATGCTTTGAAAAATTCAAGGTTAACTCATGCATTTTTGAATGCGTAGATTTATTTATAAAAAAAGTACGTCTTGCTCTTATCTAAAAAAGAAAAAAAAAAAACAAAATGAAATAAAATAAAAAGTTTATCATAAATAAAATCTAGTATATTATTTCCCAGAATTAAAACAACGCAATTTTTGTTTTGATTTTATGGGCCGATTAATTATTTATTTATTTAATTATTTTTACCTGCATTCCATAATTGGCCTGAAATGATTAAGCTATAATGCAATATATCATATACGAAGATTAAATCAAAATGTCGTTTCATTTCCCCAATATGAAGAATATATGCACAGACATTTAACAAGATAGCAAAGGCTAGAGACGTACAGGACCGACCATGTGATATCCTACTACCCTATAATTTAGATACTGTAGATGCGAAAAAAAAACTTGAACCAGTTTCTGGACATATTGGATAAATAATTTGACTACTTGGAAAATCATTCAAATCTTAACATTCGATTGGTGGGTTTTATAAATAATGTGTTCATTTCCAATTGGAAAGCAGATATTCCTATTAAGTCCACTTTTAAAAAAATTCCGCAATATTGGTATTTTTCACACAAAATATATTATCCGATGACCATTTAAAATGATAGCCTTCTGCCTTGTTCTAAACTCAAACACCATTCCAAATTTTACATCAATTGTGGCCTGTATAGAGATTGCAAAATTTAGATTTCTATAATTATGACCTTTAGGGAGATGGAAGGAATTATTTCAGTTTTTTATACCCTACATCATCCATAGTATGGAGGATATATTAAGTTCGTCATTACGTTTGTAACTCATAGAAATAATAATTTTAGACTTTTTGGTTAACGAAATCCCAAACAAAAATTTTCCTGCAATAAAAAGTCAATATTCTCCATATAGTATGCTCTTGGAACTTTACGCTTTCTTTCAAGCGATAAATGCGAAAACATTCTTTCGAGTGTGCATGTCGAAGGACACTTAATTCTTACCACAAATTACCCCAAGATTCTAGAGTTAACATTTGACAAGATGTTCAGGTCGTCTGCGCAAGCCAAGATGAATGTAGGAATAAGGTCCTCAAGGGGCTAGCACTCGGGGTTGTGGACAGAGAGACCTTGTTGATCTCTAATAAAGCGATAGGTTGGTTTGTGGTTGGCTCGGCGGTTTTCAAGTGTTGCCTGTCAGAATGCTGAACAGAGCGTCTCCTCATGACAACAGTGGGTGATTTACATGAGAAGTGCTTCCCTTACGCCGGCCTAACCATATGCTTATCTTGTTGACTGTCGCCCTCGAAGTCAACAAGTAAAAACGCTGTAAGTTCTGCGGGGTCGAACTTTGAATACTCTACACCATTTGGAACAAATTTGGCAATTTCCAAAAAATAAAATCCGTAAAAAATGCTGTTTAAATCTTAAAAATACCGAATGTAGCCGTTATATTAGGGTCTATACGACGACGTGGACCTGAATTATCCAAATACCGAATATAGGGAGGTGCTATTATATGGGGGCTATACCAAAACGTGGACCTGCACAGAAAATTTTCTGTCAAATACCAAAATTTCCAAATTTGAAGCAATTCCGGTGAATAATGTCGCTAAAATCATCAAAATACTAAATATCGGGAGGTACCGTTATATGGGGCTATACGATGACGTGGACCTGCACAGACAATTTTCTGTCATCGGCTATAGTATCTATTACGAACTTTAAATACCAAATTTGAAGCAATTTCGGTGAATAATGTCGCTAAAATCATCAAAATACCGAATATCGGGAGGTACCGCTATATGAGGACTATACCAAAACGTGGGCCTGCACAGACAATTTTTTGTCATAGGCTGTAGTATCCATTACGAACTTCGAATACCAAATTCGACAATTCCGGTGAATAATGTCGCTAAAATCATCAAAGTACCGAATATAGGGAGGTACCGTGGTATGGGGGCTATACCGAGGTGTTACAAACGGAATAACAAACTTATAATACAATGGTGGAGGGTATAAAAATTTGAAAAACATCTAAGAAATGGGTGTTTTTCTTTCATTAAATTTGAGTTATTTATTTTCCATCTTCAGCTTCCGTTTTGGCTGAACTTGAATAAATCGGAAAAATTTACAGGTTTTTTCTGTGTCTACCAAAAATGTAGGTTACACTGTGAATTTTTATATTGATTGCAAAGCTTTCAATTGTTCTTTTGCGGGGTGGGTTTAACCATGAAAACTGGGTAAATTTGTTTCTGCAAAAAAAGTAATTTAACATAACTCATCTCAACTGCTCTCGATTACATAACTTCTTGTCTTCAATTGAGAAATGATAAGAAAATAATGTCAAGCTCTAATGTTAACTGTCGATATTAAGATAAAAAAAATATTGGATACAGAGAGCAACGAAATACAACTTTTAAAAATACTTGGCAATGATTCTTTGAAAAGCGAACAAAAAACCTTCATTGGCTCGCTTTTTTAAATTTAGGTTATGAGCATTTCAAAACGTTTTCTTAGTCTAATTTTTTGTTACATTGGTGTTAGCGATTAGAAAAAACAAATTCTTACTTATTTTGTAATATTTTTGTCGTTTATAATTAACATATGCATGTATTTCATTTCATACATTCACATATAAAATTTATTTATACAGTCTCCAGCGTTGTTATTTGTCTTATGTTAACAAAACAATATTTGTTTGAGTATTATATTGTGTATTGGTAGGTAAATTTGTTTAGATGGTTTTATTTAGAGTTGATAATAGTTTAGTTGAAGTTGTATTGATCTTAATTGTTCTATATGTATTAAGGTAATTGGCGAATTATCATAAGGAGAGAAATAGATTTGCTTTTCATTTTTTTTAGAATATAACACTGTAAATATGTGAGCTATATATATATATATGTAATATAAATTGTATTAATTTAGGAAATTGCATAAAATTATTATTTTTATTTTATTATTTATTTATTGTGTTGTCAAAGGAATCTTGTGTTTAATATGTATTATTTTTTGTGAGTAATCTACAACCAGACTATAGTTTGTTTGTCATATAAATAATTTTGGTAGTGTATATACAGGGTGAGATGAAAAAACTGCAACCAACTTCAGACTGCTGTCATTTCTAAGCCCCTTGTCCGACTGCTGTTAAAATTATTTCAGTGTCAGCTCATTATATTGTTTACAAGTGTATAAACGCATTTTAGTGCGAAATTTCCAGAAAAAAAGTTATTCGCGATTCAAAAAAAAATTCAAAAGTGATAGTGTGATTTCTTTATATTTGGCTGGAAAACCACAAGTGGCTATCGTTAGAGCACTCCAGCATTTAAATGTGAATAAATCTTTTGAGCTCGGGGTAAAGTCATTGAAATTCCAAAAAGTGCAAGAACTTACACCGCCACAGAAAGAAAATAGACTCAAAAGAGCTAAAGAGTTGCTTCGCTTGGCCGAAAGTGGTGAACTGCCGAATTTGGTTTTCTCCGATGAGAAAGCAATCGTTGTCCAGCAGTTTGTAAACAAACAAAATGATCGTGTTTACTTGCCAAAGAGGTCAGCTGAAAATGTGCACCTTCGTTTGGCCACCAGAACACAAGCGCCGGCCATGGCGATGGTGTGGGCCGCCATAACAGCCGATGGTCGCTCTCCGCTCGCATTAATCGACCGTAGAATCAGAATAAATGCCGAATATTATAGCGAAAATATTATGGCTGGTGTATTAAAGCCTTGGGCAAGCAAACATTGGACATTCCAACAGGACTCAGCACGCGCCACCCAAGAATGGTTACAAAATGAGGTTCCTCGATTCATTTCCAGCGCACAATGGCCACAAAAATCTCCTGGACTATTGTGCCTGGAGTATTTTCGGGCAGAATGTGACGGTTTCATTGGACGTTTGAGGGAAATAATTCGTGCCAAAGGTGACCTATTCGAACAAATCAAAACTTATTCTAAAATTTAATGCTATTTTCGACATTTTTTGCTTTCAATCAATAAAATTTAAAAAAGAAAATTTAAAAATTATGGCATTTGACTCTGTTGCAGTTTTTTATCTCACCCTGCATTAAATGCATTTTGAAAATTTTGTTTTGAGTGTTTACAACTCAAATACAATGTTTTTATTTGTCCTTTTTTTGGTTTTGTAGTGCAAAAAAATCCCACTTTTTCTTTTATTTGGAAATCTATGGACTTGAGATGTTTCATAAAACAAAAATGGAATATTTCTAACGCTACTTATAATTATAAAAGAAATGCATAGCTCGTTTAAAACATTGGCAAATTATTTGATTGTTTGTTAGTTTAATCTAAAATAGGTTAGGATTTGTATACAAATAAAATTTAGTAGGCAAGATGTATTCTACAAAAAAAAAGGACCAGCCATCTTATTTATGTAGTCAAATAAAAAATAATACTATTTGGAGGGAATTGTAAAAAGAGTATATAGCAAGTTTGGGGCTTATTTGTTTGTTTTCCTTGCAGAAATGAGTATTTTTCTAGAGATTATTTTTTTTGTTAATGTTTTGATATGTGATTTTTAAAGGAATAAATGAGATTATTTTCATTAATGAAAAGTGATTATGTGAAATGTTTCTTCTCTTCTTCTTCTTCTTAATACACTGGGATTTTGTTATATTGAGCGTATAACTTTTCTCTACATAGTTCTTATATTTAAAAAAAATATAATGCCATTTAAATACATACTTTAGTATAAATTACCAACATAATCAGTCAGGGTATGTGTGTTTCTAGACGAAAACATGCAAATAGGATGACTGAGTAACATTACTGTGCGTTGGTGTCAAGGTGGGCGTCTGTGACTGTTGTCATACCGATGTTTCGGAATTGAGTTTCAATACAAATTTATTGCTCTTAGGATCGACTACCTCTTCGGCAATATTGAAATGAGGCAATTTGTGTATGGATACCATCAGAGAGACATCATTTTGTATCAATTGAAAGGTTACATCGCCCGCAACGGGCCGTGAAACTAGTTCATCGCATATCAGAGACCAGGATTGTACCCAACGCCGCTCCTTTTCACTTTGCATAACAGGTGCTTCGGTGAGATATGGTTCGAGAAAAGCTCTTGGCGATAGATCATGTTTTAGACAATGGGCCAAATGCTTTAATATACTTTCAAACGTATGACGCGGCTGCTGTCGTGTTACTCTCAAGTATTTCTGTAATGCCCGGGCCATTGAGGGAAACACGGCTTGAGCCGCTTCATGGGGATCCAGTGGTACAGCAGGTGCCGGTTCGTTATGAATACGTTTGACATGTGTAAAAGCCTCCTCGGCTGCCGTTATCAGACGTGCCCTACGCTTTTTAACCCTTCTTTCATATTCATGCTCCTCATAGAAGCGTTCATTGTGCGAAGAATCGCGGCGTCGTGCATTTGCCGCCAAAACAGCACGACTCTGACTTTGTTGCTGTGAATTATTTACGCCATCCACCTCATAATATTTAAAACTTGTTGTAATTTTATTTCTTTGTGATTTTGAGATGGGTATACGTTCCAAATATGGATTGTAGATGGGAAAATCGACATAGTAACGTTGGAGTACCCAAACTGCGGCACGCTGTATACTCAATTGGCCCAAAGTGTAGGATCGTGACACACCATCGGGAGATCGTATTATTTTCACATAATACATGGGTTGATTGTGACGCAGTTCCAGCAACACCACCGCAATATAGTGAATAAACAGTAATGTGTCAACCAGGTTTGTGGCATAGGCAACCAGTGATTTATAGTCAACCGCATCTCCTCCAGTTTCTACAACAATTTTTGCTCCATTTGTTACCTGGAAGAAAAGCGATATGTTATTATTAAAAATAAGTAAACAGGTTGTTCTCAATGCAAACAGAAAAAAAACAGTAAGGAAAGGTCAAAAGCCGGGCAATAATCGGGCCGACTATATGATACCCTACACCACTATGCGTATATAGTAGGTCTCCCTTAACAAAAAAAAAAAAAGACTATGAACCTTATTTGAATACGTATCATGGCTTAGATTAGTCAAAATTCGAGAGCTATATCCAACTCTGAATCGATTTTCAACAAATTTGACGGAGTCTATTGTACCTCTAGTACCAAATAACATAAAAATATTTATTGGAGAAATATATATATATACACATATATCGAACTAAGTTTCACCATATGGAAAAATTCGGTTGAATATGAAAAATCTATCAAATTTGGGCTGATATTACATATTTGTAAAATCGGATGAAGATGTATATCGAAGGTATATAAAAATCTGAACCGATCTCGATAAAATTTGTAGGAAATTATTTTTTATTTTTAAGATGTATCCGATGTCCGGTATCAAATATCATTGTTGTGGAATGTATATTAGGCATATGGGGGACTTTAGCATTAAATCGGATGATATATATAGCTATAGCTATATCTGAACCGATTTTCCAAATTTGAAGAACATGCTTCTAGGCTGAATTCGGTCTAAAGTGCCATAACGCAATTCATATGGTCTTATATTAGTCATTTGGTGTACAATAAACCTGATATCGGATAAAGATATATATGAGAGCTATAACCGATGAGAGCAAATCGAGATGTATTTGTGGGGTGTATCTGATATTTGGTACCAAATACCATTCTTGTGGAGTGCATATTAAACCCCAAAGCAAATGAAGGATATATGGGAGCTATAACTATATCTGAACCGTTTTTAACCAAATTTGAATTAATTGTTTCTAGGATGAATTCAGTCGGAAATGCCAAAATTCAGGACATTTAGACTGATATTGGACATTTTGTACATGATAAATCTGACATCGGCTAAAGATATATATGCATATGGAAGCTATATACAAATTTTATCGGATCTCGATAAAAGTTGACAGAGGTATTTCTTATTGAGGTTGAGTGCATAAGACGCTTGTGATGGACTTAAAACCACAAATTGAATGAAACAAATATATGGGAGCTATAGCTATATCTGAACCGATTTTATATACTTGATTCTAGACTGAATACGGTTGGATGCCAAAATTCAAGTTATTTGGACTGATATTGGCCATTTAGTGAACAATTAACCCGAAATCGATAGAAGATATATATGGGAGCTATGTATATCTAATTTTCAACCGATTCTCAACAATTTCAATAGGGTTCGTCATTGGGCAAACAAATATTGTTTGGAAAATTTCATCTCAATCGGATAATTAATGTCATCTGCATTTTGTTCGCAAAAATACATGGACAACCAACGGACTGACATGCATAAAACGACTCAGAAAGTGATAACATGAAGATCCTCAAAGGTAACTTTGGGTCTATCTCGCTTCCCTCTCCATGCTACACACAAATGCACAAAGACATAATACCCTTACCACTATGTGGTGTAGGGTATAAATATATGTATTTCAACTCTTTATAAGATTCTAAATAAACTGCAGTATTACCCAATACACTCCATTCCCCTAGTACAAATAAATGACATCATAACCAATTTTAAGTTACATTTTTAGTATATTTCATCAGAATATGCGAAAAATGATTATATATTACATTCGTAATACAAATCTAAGAAACTTCAAAATTTTTTGGCTAAAAACTTCAAAAAACATAAAATTGAGTTAATTTTAAAAAGTTATTCCCAAAAACTGGAATCTTGGACGAGGTCGTTTCCATTTAATGGTTAAAGGTATAAAAATAATTCGCTAATGGGAAAACAATATACCCATAACAATTTCCATGGAAGGGGAAGTAATGTCCTAGCATCTCCCAACAAGATAGGTACATAAAATAATTCCTTAAAGGCATACTTCCACTGTCTTTGAACAATTTACCTTTCACCCTACCACTTGCAATTCATGCAAAATACCAATACTAATTACAGCTATAGTTTCCATAACAAACATACATACCTGTACAATATAAAACAGCCAATATGCAAATGTACTCAACGTTACCAAGAGCAACACAACAGCTCTATACAGGAAAATGCGAGGCATGGTGGCCGCTGATCTTCGCATGAAAAGTGCCCACAAACCAATTGCTAGCAATAACAAACGCACCGATATCGATATCAGAAGACCCTTGCATTCACTCCCACAGGCCAATAATTGTGTTCGCACGGTCTGCGTCAGTTCGGGATGATCGAAAGCCGAAGGGAAAAATCCCATATGAGGCATCACCACCATGGCCACTGGAGAGAAAAAGGCACCGAAACCGAGTAGAAATGAAAATATTGACTCCAAATACCGGCGACATTTGAAACCAAATCCTGTTTCATTCATTTCACGGTGCCAGGCATTATTTATGTCCTCCATTGATATGCTTTGCTCGGATGTGTTTCCCGTAACAGCTGTTGTATTCTCACCCCAGTTATCATCCTGCGGCAGTATTTGTACCTCAATAATTTCCTGGCCATCACGTCCCTCCTCGCCGGTCATATTTACAGTCGTCTGATATGGATTTAAATCGCTACTCCTGTTGCTTTTGGACTTTGAATGTGAGTTGCTGCGATGTGAATGCCTTGTACGGTCACGATGGTAGCCATTATTTACAGATCCTCCACCATTACCACCATTATTGTTGTGACTTCGGGAGCGTCTGGAGCGACCACTTTGTTCAGATTTAACCGATTCGTTTTCCATGCTGAAATGGGGCATCAATTGCCCTCTGTTTTATCAACTCCTTTCAACTGCTTCAGATACCAAACACGCCCACCTTGGCACCTGTTACAATTTCAATCACCTTCCCACAATTCCTCTCACTCCACTCCACTATTTTTCACTTGTCGATTCAAGACGGGGTAAAAAAAGAATGGTTTCTTTTAAATGAAGAAAATTCTTTCACATACACAAACACATTCACATATCTAGCCAACCGAACCCGACAGGTAACACAATGCTCAAGAAACGCAAGAATGAATGACTTTCCGTCTACTTGACTTCACTTGGCCGTAACGTTGTTTTTGTCTTCGTTCCTGTTGTTGCATTTACTTGAGGCCTTTCTCGTTTTCTTGCGTTGATAGACAAACAAAAGAGGAAAGTCTATGAAAGGGGGTGAGGGGTGCGGTCGTTGTATAGATGTTTTTCATATTACATTATTCACATTTTTCTATGTACATTTCTACACGTATTACACATTATTTGTTAACTTTTTATTGATTTTCTATGCAACAAATCATCTTATTTATGTTTTTCATTTTATTTTACACTAAAAATGTGGCGAAAAATGCGAAAAATCGCAAACTATTTGTATTGCTCTGCTTCTAATAGGGATAGGTAAACGATTAATCGACTTTTAGCACACAACGTTCTGAAAGTCGTAGTCGACTATGGACTGTGATGAAAACCGATAAATCGACTATTCATGAATAGGGAACTATGAACTAGATTCGCAAACTAGTTCACTCAAACGTGCTAATCAACAGAATGAAGAAAAAACCGTCAAGTTCAAAAATGTACTCTTTTTATTGTTTTTATTGTAAACGTTACGTAATAAAATAAAAATCAATTTATTTTTTCATTTCGAATTATCGAAAATAAACTAATGAAAACATAAAAAACCTCGACTATTTTTCTTATTTTAGGTGTTGATTGTGTTTCATGGTAAAATTAAGAAGGTAAAGTCATTTTAAATAAGTATATCCATCTCTGCATTTTCTGTAATTTACCTTGTCATTTCTTATTTTCTCAGAACAAAAAAGAGGTCCACATCTCTTGCTCCGTTTCAGAACTACACGAATGTACAACTTTTTACTACGATAAACGATTTTTTCCTATATGCTATCGAAAAAAATGAAAAATTAGTAGATTCTTGCAGGATCTGGAACAGAACATCTGATTTTTGTATATACGACGGATTTATAAATATACATTTTGACAATGAGATGTCAAAAGAATGATTTTAAAAAAATTGTAAACATATGATTGCATGACTTTATTTGGAAGTGTTTTGTTGTTGGAAGTGAAACGTTTGAGCCACTTTGTTCGATTTTTCTACGGAATTGAACAAATTATTTATTTTGTTTGTCCGTCAGATTTACCATACAAGAATCGATTTTTGCTCTGTGCCAGTACCTGCTAGAATCTACTCGTCTTGCAATTTTCTTCGATTTGGTTCTGGTAATAAAACGTTTACATTCTTGCAGGCCTGGAAACAACTAATTTTTTACATAGGTGTATGAAAGCTATCCCCCATTTTAAGTATATAATGTTGAAATAAAACAATATTTTCCTCCAACCTTTCTGAATAGTCCCCACATTTCCCTAGTACTCTGTGTTTTTTTCCTATTTAAAACAAATTTTGAAAAAAATTTGCTCGGTTTCTGAAACTGTAAGAATCTACGAGCTTTGCTTTTTTTCGATACAAAAAAAGGGAAAATCGGTTAAGAAGTTTTACATTCTTGCAGTTCTGGTGTGGAAGTAAAATTATCAAAACTCTTTGTTGCATGTTGGTTAAAAAAGTCTATTTGATGGTTGAATGTTGTCGCATCGACACAGCTGCTGCAACAATGAACTGCCAAACCAATCTTGGAATTGAAAAATTGGAATGAAATATTTTTCAATTTCGTTTGAAATTTGAAAAACGCATTTCACAACAAAACTCCGTTTGGTGTCGTATAAGAAAACATATGATCATGGTAAAATTAAGAATTTAAAGTCATTTCATCTTTGCATTTTCTTTAATTTACTGTCAAATTTCACTGAAATCTCTGATTTGTGTATGTACAATGGATTTATAAATAGACATTTTTACAATGAGATGTCAAATGAATAATTTTAAAAAATTGTAAACATGACTTTACCTTCTTAATTCTACCATGACGTTGATGCATTTTACTCTATTTTCCACCACGAACGTTTGTCTTTCTTATTATTCCAAATGAAAATCTGTATTTAAACGGGCTATAATCCATATAGAGTGATTGCACGCCACCTCGTGTTCGACATTATCACTATTTTCTCAATGTATTAATGAACACAGCCCAAAAGTTTTAATGAACACCGCCAGGCAAAAAGCAAATTGAGCCTGGATGAGCTGGAGCTGGTTCCGTGCTCTTTTGGTGAATGTGTTCAAACCATTGTCGGCCGTTTTGTTTTGATTCCTTTTGTGTTGTCCACCTTTCCCCTTTGATCCCATCTTTATTATCGATTTTCTTTCAGTGCTGTCTTTCTTTTCAGTGCTGCCAAGTATCCTTTGTTCGTCACTTCGGCGTCGGTTTGGTGTGTAAATTGTTAATTCATTAATTAATTTTAATTATTTAATTAATTATCGTATTTCGTATAAAAATTTATATATAAATATTTAGAAACAAATAGAACAAATGTGGGATTTGAGATTGTGCGTGATTAAAAAAAAAAAATAAACAAACCCGACCGCCAACATAACCTCCAATACGTGGATAAAAAACAATTAGTCCATGGATAGAAAAACCATATATGTGTCTCCAGCAACTCGAGGATATTTTTTCCAGCTCTATTTATGTGTACCCTGATTCCAGGAAAGTATTTTTTCTTGGGGGACGGATTTTTTTTCAGTTTTCTGATGCATTTGGAAGTTTGGTATTCTATTTGCAAATCACATATCACGAATTTTGCGATTTTGGGTGCAGTAGAATGAATTCGGAAGTATTGGCCATACACGATGTCGATTTGGAAGATGGCGAGGTAAGACAGTGGGTGAAAAAATGTTAAGAATTGATAGAAAATATAGAAAATGCATTTGTTAATGGTTCAATGTCTTTTTTGTTTAAATCACACGCAGCTTTCGGATAGCTCGGATGAAGTTTATGTACCACTTCAACGGCCAGTATTGACCAAAACAGCTCCATCAACACCTACTCCCGCCTCCAATAACTATGCGACTAATTTGAACAAAATGGATGATGACTGTCAGGGAGGTGATCATTTTAATAAATCAACAAACGATGAAGAATGTCAAAGCGATAGCTCAAGTTCATCATCCTCAGATGATTCTTCAGACAATTGCTTGACAAAGGTGAAAAAAGAAAAGAAGAGTCGTCCAAAAAAGCACATAAAACGCACCGTAATGGTACGAATTGATGCCACAGCTGAAGACGGCACGGAACAGAAGAGATCGCGATTTAAAAAGTATGACATTTGGACCGCTGCTTTACAGGAAGATGCCTTAACAGAAAACATGCGGGGTTGCGACGTGACCCAGAATGGCTTTGGCGATCGGAATGTTGAAAGTTATGACTTCTCACTGCACTATCGTCTGAATGGAGGTAACAGCCTTAAACGTCGCCTTTCCGGAGACGAAGACACATCGGAAAATGAGCAACAACAGCCACAAAATAAACGTCAACGGCCATCGAGTCGTGGCGAATGTAATAGTCGATCATCTTCAAAGCAATCTGTACACCAGCGTTTAGGCAAAAAGAGAAACGTTCGAGACAGCCGATATTCTTCAACGAATAGCTCTGATTCGTCTTATGAACCACGCCTCATTGAAGATCTTGAAGAGATAGGGGATCGTAGCGCAGTAGAAGTGGCCCGTGAAATGGCCAAAAAATTGCACGAAGGAAAGGATGACTTAATAGGTAGGAAAGCAAAGATATTTGAAGTTAATGTAATTACCATTTTTTATATTCCCATATTTTAGTTAGGATTGTGGAAGTATTAGGTCTTGAATTGCCCTTAAAAATATTTAAGGAAACTCAGCGCATTGAAGCCGATGGCGGAATGACCATAAAGGTATTTATTCATATTTCATCTTAGTAGACATTTTTAAATTATCTGTCTCTTTCCAGAATGGCCAGAGGCGTCGCACCCCAGGCGGTGTATTTCTATTTCTAATCAAACACAATGAAACCTTAAGTGCCGATGATCAAAAAGCCATCTTCTCAGAAGATCGAACAAATGCCAATAAAAAACACAAAGACATGAAATCATTAATGCGTGAGCGTAAAGTGGAAGAGTTGAAAAAACGACTCAGTGAACAAGGGGCAGAATTGAATGCACCACTGTGCACACGCAAAGATCTAATATTAATGGGCGATGAAGCACTAAAAGAACAACAAAAAGGCAATCGTAAGTAGCAAATTTCATGAGAAAATAAATTGGTCTGCTTTTGATGGTTATTATTTTTTTCTATAACAGTGTCTAATCCCCCACCATCCCCAGAAGCAGCGGAACAAAGTCCCGAATATAAATCCCTACCCATAAATGTGGTAAGCAATGAAAATGTGGAGCCAACGGAAAAACCGTCGACTTCTCGCGGTGGTGCTGCTGCATCTGTTGAAGAATTTAAAACCTATGAAGATGATTTTCTGGACGTACATTGTGGAGACATGGATTTCTTTTGAAAAAAAAAAAACATTACCTATGTGTACTTAGATAATTTTCTATATATATTGTATAGCTATATAAATGTTTATTTTCAATAGTAGATATCACATGAGGTGAAACGTGTAAAAATAAAAAAGAAGCATAACAAACAATTTGTTAACACAAATTCAGCCAGAGTTTTGATGTAATATTAACTATTGAAACTATGGAATCAAATATGTAACATCTGAAGACTTTGGTTTCGTTTCATGTATTTGAAACAAGTAAAATGGTGTCAGTTGGTTTTGCTGACAAATGTATACCCCCAGCCTTGAGTTATGATTATTCACACTGTTGACCCTTTATGGGGTAGGTTCCGAAGCAGTTTGGCAATATTGACCAATTCGTATCTGAACTAAGACCAATAAATATATTACAACAATATTTGTACTATATCGACTACTTTTCTGTATTTTATATGAGGTATGTGCAAATTTTTGGAAAATGTGGAAATATGCGTGAGGTAACAGATATTGGGGACTGAAGTATTCCACTTTCATACTTCATCTTTTATAGATAACAATCTTGGTATTGGCGAAATTACAAGAAAATCGACATTAATATCCACATTAATTTTTCAAAACTTTGACCCTTTGTGAGGGAGGTACCAGCAGGAATGGTCCGATCTCTACCATCTTTATAACAGATCTTGTGGTGATGGAAATATTGAGATGTACCAACTCTGAATGGAATCGGATGTTAATTTCGTGTTTTATTAGGTTTCTGACTTTTCAAAATTTTGACCCTTTGTGGAGGAGGTACCAGAAAAGAGTATCCCATTTTCACAAAAGACCTTGGGATAACGAAAACATTGTGATGTGTATAGTTTGCAGACAATCGGACTCTTACATCACTTTTTGTAAGAGTTATAATTATTCAAAATTTTGAACCTTTGTGGGG